AGCAAGCATTTGTTGCATATATAAAGGGTTCTTTCGGGGTGAGAAGGACAAGGTCCTGCCCCCGGGAGCTTACCTACTGTAGAGGAGGTGACATGCTTATAATATCTGATACTTCAGAGGGTATCTGTGCTAAGATAGTTTCAAAGGAGGAAGAATGGGAGCTTACAGTGAGGAAAAGCCCCTATGCCACTGGTCTGCATCCATCCATCTACCCATCTACCCCTTCATCCACTTTTACCTAACCCATCCAGCTAGCCACCCATATATCCATCTACCCATCTATCCACCCTTCCCCACCCATCCATCCATCCATTCATCCATCCATCTACCCATCTACCCATCTACTCAATCCATTGTCCACCCATCTATCATCCATCTATTCATCCATCATCCATCCACCCACCCACTCATCCACCTACTCATTTATCCCTTCACCCACCCACTCACTCATCCATCCATTCACCCATCCACCTACCCATCCACTTATCCACCCTTCCTCCATCCACCCATCCATCCATCCATCCATCCATCCACTCATCCATTTACTCACCCACTCATCCATCTACTCGCCCACTCATCCATCCACCCACCCACTCATCTACCTACTCATTTAACCATTCATCCACCCACTCACTCATCCATTCACCCATCTACCCACGCATCCACCCTTCCCCCATCCATCCATCCATCCATCCGTTCACTCATCCATTTACTCACCCACGCATCCACTCACCCTCTCATCCATCCACCCACCCACTCATCCACCTACTCATTTATCCATTCACCCATCCACTCACTCATCCATCCATTCACCCATCTACCTACCCATCCACTTATCCACCCTTCCTCCATCCACCCATCCATCCGTCCATCCATCCATCCACTCATCCATTTACTCACCCACTCATCCATCTACTCACCCACTCATCCATCCACCCACCCACACATCTACCTACTCATTTAACCATTCATCCACCCACTCACTCATCCGTTCACTCATCTACCCACGCATCCACCCTTCCCCCATCCATCCATCCATCCGTTCACTCATCCATTTACTCACCCACGCATCCACTCACCCTCTCTTCCATCCACCCACCCACTCATCCACCTACTCATTTGTCCATTCACCCACCCACTCACTCATCCATCCATTCACCCACCTACCCACCTATCCACCCTTCCCCCATCCATCCATCCAACCATCCATCCATCCATCCATCCATCCATCCACTCATCTATTCACCCACCCACTCACTCATCCATCTATTCACTCACTAACCTACTCATCCACCCATCTATCCATTCACCCACCCATCCACCTACTCTTTTGTTCTTTCTTTTTTTTTTTTTCTGAGACAAAGTCTTCCTCTGTCACCCAAGCTGGAGTGCAGTGGCATGATCTCAGCTCATTGCAATCTCCACCTCCCAGGTTCAAGCGATTGTCCTGCCCCAGCCTCCCGAGTAGCTGGGACTGCAGGCACATACCACCATGCCCATCTAATTTTTGTATTTTTAGTAGAGATGGGGTTTCACTATGTTGGCCAGGGTGGTCTCGAACTCCTGACCTCAGGTGGTTCGCCTGCCTTGGCCTCCCAAAGTGCTGGGATTACAAGCATGAGCCACCACACCTGCTAAATTTCCCCTTTTTAATGAGAATACCAGTCATATTGGATTAGGCCCACCCTAGTGACTTCATTTTAACTGGATTGCCTCTTTAAAACCCCTATCTCCAAATAAAGTCACATTCTGAGGTACTGGGGGTTAGGGCTCCAGGTTATCTTTTTTGGGGGAGACACAATTTGATCTATATCAACATTCAGGACGTATGAGGGGTGTTAAGGAAAAGATCAAGATGTCCAGATTGGCTGCAGTAGAGCATGCACGAAGTGAGCAATGTAATATAATGGCAGACTGGGAAGGTGGAGACGCAGTGTGAGGCCTGGGAATGCAGGGTGAGGCTGGGGAAGGCCATATTAATTAGGTTGGCAGAACATGTATTAATAAAATATGTGTGAGTCCCTTTGATAGGGGAATCACTGGTGAGCGGAAGTGGAAAGACTAATCCTCAAGGAGCTGACTTTTTTTTTTTTTTTTTTTTTTTGAGAGGGAGTCTTGCTCTGTTGCCCAACTGGAGTGCAGTGGCGCTATCTCTGCTCACTGCAACCTCTGCCTCCCGGGTTCAAGCCATTCTCCTGCCTTAGCCTCCCAGGTAGCTGGGACTATAGGCATGAACCACCACACCCAGCTAAATTTTGTAGTTTTAGTAGACGTGGGGTTTCACCATGTTGGCCAGGATGGTCTCCATCTCTTGATCTCATGATCCGCCTGCCCCAGCCTCCCAAAGTGCTGGGATTACAGGTGTGAGCCACCATGCCTGGCATTTTTTTTTTTTTTTTTTTTTTTTGGACACAGAGTCTTGCTTTGTTACCCTGGGGCCCATGGACTCCACTCACGGCAACTTCTGCCTCAAGTGATTCTCCTGCCTCAGCCTCCCGGGTAGCTGGAATTACAGGCAAGCATAACCACACCTGGCTAATTTTTGTATTTTTAGTAGAGATGGGGTTTCACCATGTTGGCCAGGCTGGTTTCAAACTTCTGACCTCAAATGATTTGCCCACTTTGGCCTCCAAAAGTGTTGGGATTATAGGCGTGAGTCACCACGCCTGGCAGAGCTGACATTCTTATGGGGAATTTAGATACTGTGAAGATTGAGCTTACAAATAAATCTGTGATTACAGCAGTTAGGTGTCGAAGGGCAAGGAATATGAGTCTTTGTTTTTATTAGGGATCCCAACCAAGGCTCTGAGGCAGTGATGCTTTGATTATGATGTAAAGGCTGAGTGGGAGTTACTAGGGGAGAGGAGCTTTCCTGGCAGAGGACCAGCTTGTGCAAAGGCCCTGGGGTGGCGGAAGGGAGCATGGCCCTTTTAGGGAACAGGGAGATGCTGGTGTGGCTAGAGATGAAAGGACAAGGGGGGCATGGGTGAGCTGAACCTCACTAGCCATGGTAAGGACCCATCCTGGGGCCACGAGAAAGTTTTTGAAGGTTTTCAGCAAGGAGTGATCGGGTTAGATTGACCCATTGGAAAGCCTAGTGGGGAACTACTGGTGTCTGAGTTAGAGAGTGACCACCGGGAAGCTAGTATTTTTGAGAGGTTCTTGCGTGTTGTTCTAGGGCAGAGGCTCTTACCCTGGGGCCCATGGACTCTCAAAGGTAGATTTCATGGGAACCGTGAACCTGAATGGATTCACTTATTTTAATTAGCCTCTAGCTAAAATCCCCTTATGAATTCCTTCTATTGTGACTTAAGGCAACAAAGCACAGTGGTAATTGCAGTACACAGCTTTGTCACCAGCGGAAATCATAGATAGTCTCATATTATGGTACAGTGGCTGCAGATGTTGTGAAATACTGTTTGGTCTCATCACTGCTTTGGAGTTATTTTACCTTATTATTTAATGGGTTTACAAAGAATCACATGTTACTATATCTTACGTTATTTTGTTTAATGCTTTGATAACCATATTCCAATATAGTTGGATTCCTCTGTATTCCTACATATTTTATTTAGGAATTTATGATTCTATGCAGTGTACACAAGGTTTTCTTAGAATAATTAGGGGCACAAGAAATATTTGGAACCCCCTGGTCTAGATTATTTTCATTCTAACTGGCAGAAGGGCTCAGATAAGACAAGGAGAAATAATTGGCTCCATCACAGAGAAGTCCATGGGCACCCTACATTCAGATGTTTGAATGATGACCTCAGGAGCCCATTTCTCTCCAACTCTGGCTTCTGCCAGCTTTTGAGTCACCTCCTTCTTAGGCAAGTCCTGTCCACACCATGCCCACGCTTAGGCAGTGATGACCTGGGTAGCTCTAGACTTACTTGGCCCTTTCAGCCAGGAATCCAGTAGATAAAGAGAGGACATCCTTCTGGATTGCTTTTGTGAAATTCTCAGAGATGAGGTTTATTGGCCGACATGTCTGGGTCATGTGCCCATGCTAAACCAATCACAGTGGTGAGGAACATGGAGGGCTCTGATTGGCTTGCTTGGGTCATGTGCCAGTCCTGAGCCAATTATATTGATGGAAAGAAATATTCTGATTGGCCTGCTTGGGTCATGTGCTCATCCTGGAAGCAAGGTAGGCAGCGATTGCTGGGTGACCTGTTTATCTCTAAATCAGGCTGGATTAGGGTCCTCCTGGCAGGGGTGTCCAATCTTTTGTCTTCCCTGGGCCACATTGGAAGAAGTGTTAGTGTGGAAGAAGTGAGTTTAGACTAACACTAAGGATAGTGTTTTAGCTTATAGCTGGTGAGCTTAAAGAAAAAAAAGAATCACACACGCACACAATAAATCTCAATGTTTTAAGAAACTTTATGAATTTGTGTTGGGTCTCATTCAAAACCATCCTAGGCCAAACACTGACTCTCTTAGGTTGGACAAGCTTGGTCTAGACTTTCATGGTCTAAAGTTATGGCTCCCCTGATTCCTGTAGTGAGGTAAGACCCCTGCAGAGAATGATGACAACCAGAGCTTACATAGTGCTTGTTGGGTGCCAGGGACTGCTGTAGTACTTTACGCATATTTATCCTCACCGTCCATTCAGTCCTTTTGAGAACAGTAGGATGGAATCCTATAGTAACTTACTAGTGCTAAATATATACACTTACTATGCACCCCCCCCCCCCAACACACACACAAATAGTGCTGACAAGGTCATTGCAACTTGGCAAATGGCAGCCCTAGAATCCCAGGCCCAGCTTTTCTTTATAACTGTTGCTTTTCCTTGCCTGCCAGGTGACCTTAGGCTAGGGCTACCCCTTCAGTGTGTCAGGGACTCCGTCTATAACACGGGAATTGGACTGACACATTTCAGGGGTTGGAGGTGGAGCTGGGAGGGCCTTCAGGGATGAGAGGTGTGGGGCAGAGCTTGGGTCCTAAGGCCTTTGCTAAGTCAGCTTGGCTTGGAGTTTTTCTGTCTCTTTCCCCAGGACTGTTCCCGACACAGCAGTGCCCACAGAGGTCTGCTGACTGCAGGAAGCAGTGCGAGCCTGACTACCACCTGAATGAGGCCGGCCGCTGCACAGCCTGCGTGAGCTGTTCTCGAGGTAAGGGGCTTGTTCTCTCTCCAGGGCCTCCTTCTAGGGAGCATAAGGGGTCCTCAGAGGAGAAGTGAAGAGTCTGGAAGGTGGAGAGCATCATGGTTTGATGTTTGTTCTCTGAATTGTCCTCCTGGTACCTCAGTTTACCTCTCTGCATTTGTGACTTGATGTCAGCCATGACCTTTGCATCTGACTTTCACAGAGACTTACTATGTTTCCTAAAGGAGAAGACTCACATTTTTTTGAGTTTAGTCCTCGCCACAGTCCTAGGGAGGATTCCTTGCTTATCCTTCCTTTACAATGAGGAATTTGAGGATAGTGAGGTTAAGGGCCTTTTTAAAGTTACAAAACTTGGCCAGGCATGGTGGCTCATGCCCATAATCCCAGCACTTTGGGAGGCCAAGGCGGGCGGATCACCTGAGGTCAAGAGATCGAGACCATCTTGGCCAACATGGTGAAACCCCATCTCTACTAAAAATACAAAAATTAGCTGGGCGTGGTGGCGCATGCCTGTAGTCCCAGCTACTTGGGAGGCTGAGGCAGGAGAATTACCGGAACCTGGGAGGCGGAGGTTGCAGTGAGCCAAGATTGCACCACTACACTCCAGCCTCGTGACAGATTGAGACTCTGTCTCAAAAAAACAACAACAACTCTGGTAAGCGGCAGAACTAGAGTTCAAGTTGTGGCCTGACACCAAGAGCCGTGTTCTTTTTCTAAGACCACAGGACTTCCAGGAAAACTGTTTCAATATGGCCTTTTATTGTTAGTTTCTTATTATGGTTAGAGAATGTGTTCTGTCCTCTATCTGGTGTTTATTTTTGTGTGAGTTTTTTTGGGGGGTAGGGTGGGGGAAATTTGTTGAGATCCTTTTGTGGTCTAATAAATACTCAATGATCACATTTTTTCAGAGTGTTCAGTGTGTGGGTGTTTTAAAATGTGTATTCTGTTTGTTGCATATAAAGTTCTCTACATATCTATTAGGTTAAGCTTGTTAATTGTGTTATTTAAATTATATGTGCTCTTTTACTTTTTTTCATAAGGGCAGTGGAGATATGTGTGCTCTTATTTACTTTTATCACCTTTATTTCTTTTTTTTTTTCTTTTAGGCTGCATTCTAACTCAAGATATCATCTTTATTTCTGAGACAGATACGTTAAAATCTTATCTCCCAGTATACTTGTTCATCTATTAGATTTTCATTGCATTCTATTTTTGCTTCATACATGTCAAAGCTATGTTATTAGGTGCATAAATGTTCATGAATATTATGGTTTTTTGGTGGGTTGAGCTTTTTATCCACATGACTATGTCTCTCCACTCCTTGTAATGCCTTCTCCCTTAGTTTCACATTTGTTTGATATTAATATTACTATTCCTTCCTGGAAGAAGTAGCAGAGGTTAAAAAGAAAGGCAAGTAATAATATTGCCATTTCTTCTTTCTTTATATTAGCATTTCTCTGGCATATCTTTGAATTTCTGAAAGTAATGACTGCATTTTGTGAAATGAAAATTATAAACATTTTTTATTAAAAATGCAAACAATAGAGTATAAGGAAGAAAACAAACATTGCCCTCCCCAACCCTCCTTCTGGAGATAACTACTATTATCATTAGATGTAGACATGCCTCTCTACCTGTCTGTATAGACATAGGTAGGTTAATAACCACACAGCCTGTACACACACACAAAGAAGGAATTTTAAGAGAATGGCAACATATTATTTACGGCATTAAAATGACATTTAATTTTAATCAAAAGTATCAGAAAAAGAAGAGACTCCAGTGAAACAGGAGAATGCCAAACCCCAGTCAGATTAATGTATTTTCAGCAAAATATATTGCAGTTCCTGTAAAAAGAAAAAAAAAACCGATAAAATTAAGAAAGGAGGTTATGAAAGTCAGTAAGCGGTTAATAATCATTTCAGGAACTACGGTCTCTTGCAGTAAAGTCACAATCTACTTGAGTTTTGAACAGCAGAGAATAGATGGACTCCCCGTAATGAATAACAGAATAATCTTTTCCCCACCTCTGCGTCCTCTACCTGACTTTTATTGCTTACACAGGTTTTAATTTGTCACAATCTATAACTGTTTATGTTCTCTTCTGCACCCATCAGTCCCTTGGCATGTTAGCCTTAAATTTTTTTATGATTCATGATGAGTTTATTTGCCACAGCTTCTCCATTCCTGAGCTTTTCACTTTGACTCATCACTTGAGTGATTGGATTACATTGTCAGGTGGATTTTCAAGAAGGGCTCTTCTTTGCAGTATTCCCTGAGTTCTTTCATGTTTGACAGTGCTTGTCTGTTGCCTATATTTTTCTTTTCTTTTGTTTTTTCTTTTTGAGATGTAGTCTGACTCTGTTGCCCAAGCTGGAGTGCAGGGGTTTGAGTTGGCTCACCACAACCTCCGCCTCCTGGATTCAAGCGATTCTCATGCCTCAGCCTCCTGAGTAGCTGAGATTACAGGCACACACCACCATGCCCGCCTAATTTTTGTATTTTTAGTAAAGATAGGGTTTCATCATGTTGGCCAGGCTGGTCTCCAACTCCTGTGATCCACCCACTTCAACCTCCCAAAGTGTTGGGATTACAGGCGTGAGCCACTGTGCCCACCCAATTTCTTATCTTTACATGTTAAGACAGGGTCTCACTTTGTTGTCCAGGCTGGCCTTAAACTCCAAGGCTCAAGTGATCCTCCTGCCTCAGCCTCCTGAGTAGCTGGGGCTACAGGTGCATGGCACTGCACCCAACCTACGATTTTTTGTGTGTGTCTCTGAGGATATAAATTATAGTCGTGTATTGCTTAATGACAGGAATACATTCCGACAAATGTGTCATTAGGCAATTTTGTCATTGTGCAAACATCCTAGAGTTGTGCACTTACACGCACCTAGATGGTGCAGCCTATTGCACACCTAGGCTCAATGGCAGGTCCTTTTGCTCCTAAGCTACACATCTGCACAGCATGTGACTGTCCTGAATACTGTAGGCAACTGTGACCCAATGGTAAGTGTTCGTGTATCTAAATGTATCTAAGGCTGGGCACCGTGGCTCATGCCTGTAATCCCAGCACTTGGGAGACCAAGCGGGTGAATGACAAGGTCAGGAGTTTAAGACCAGCCTGGCCAAGACGGTAAAACCCCATCTCTATACTAAAAGAACAAAAAGTTAGCTGGGCGTGGTGGTGGGTGCCTGTAATCCCAGTTACTTGGAAGGCTAAGGCAGAGAATTGCTTGAACCTGGGAGGCAGAGATTGTAGTGAGCCGAGATCGCGCCACTGCACTCCAGCCTGAGTGACAGAGCAAGACTCCATCTCAGAAAAACAAGAAACAGAAACAAAAACAAACAAACAAAAAAATCTAAACAGAAAAAGTGCAGTGAAAATACGATATAAAAGATTAAAAAATGGCATGCTTGTACAGGGCACTTACTGTGAATGGAGCTTGCAGGATGGGAAGCTGCTCTGGGTGAGTGAATGAGTGAGTGGTGAGGGGAGGTGAAGGCCTAGGACATTACCGTAAACTACTGTAGACTTCAGAAACACTGTTCGCTTCGGCTGCACTCTATGTATGAGACATATTTTTTTCTTCAATAATATATTAAACAGCTTACTGTAACTTTTTCACTTTATAAACTTTTTAAATTTTTGGCTCTTGAAATAACACTTAGCTTAAAGCACAAACACATTATACAGCTGTACAAAAATATTTTCTTTCTTTATAGCCTGATTCCATATACTTTTTTCTATTTTTAAATTTTATTATTTTATTTCACATTTTTAAATTAAAAGCTGAGACACAAGCACCTCCATTATCCAAAGCCTACACAGAGACAGGATAATCAGGATCACTGTTTTCCTTTTCTGAGTCTTGTCCCATTGGCTGGGAGTGGTGGCTCATGCCTGTAATTCCGGCATTTGGGGAGGCTGAGGTGGGTGGATCACTTGAGGTCAGAGTTTGAGACCAGCTTGGCCAACATAGGTGAAACCCTATGTCTACTAAAAATATAAAAATTAGCCGGGTGTGGTGGCATGTGCAAGTAATCCCAGCTACTTGGGAGGCTGAGGCAGGAGAATCACCTGAACCTGGGAGGTGGAGGTTGTAGTGAACCAAGATCGCGCCACTGTACTCCATTCTGGGTGACAGAATGAGACTGTCTCAAAAAAAAAAAAAAAAAAAAAAAAAAAGAATCTTGTCCCATTGGATTGGAAAGTCTTCAGGGGCAGTAAAACACATGGAGTGTCATTTTCTATGATGACGACAATGTCTTCTGGATGCCTCCAGAAGGACCTACCTGAGGCTATATTATAGTTAACTGTTTTTTTTTTTTTTTTTTTTTTTTTTTTTAATAAGTAGAAGGAGTACACTCTAAAATAATGATAAGGCTGGGCTTGGTGGCTCACACCTGCAATCCCAGCATTTTGGGAGGCCAGGCTGGGAGGATCGCTTGAGGCCAGGAGTTTGAGACCAGCCTGAGCAACACAGTGTGACTCCCATCTCTACCAAAAATAAAATAAATTAGCTGAGTGTGGTGGCATGTGCCTGTAGTCTCAGCTTGCAGGAGGCTGAGGTGGGAGGATTGCTTGAGCCCAGGAGGTTGAGGCTGCAGTGAGCTGTGATCATGCCACTGCACTCTAGCCTGGGCAGTAAAGCAAGACCCTGTTTCAAAAAAAAAAAAAAAAAAAAAAGATAGAAAGCATAGTACAGTACGTACATAAATCAGCAACATAGCTGTTTATTATCAAGGATTATGTACCATCCATAGTTGCATGTGCTCTGCAGCACTTTTATACCACTTGACAGTGCATTGCTATGGCTATGACATCACTAGGCAACAGGAATTTTTCAGCTCCATTATAATCTTATGAGGCCATCGTCACGTACGCCGTCCATCATTGGCAGAAGTGCTGCTCTGTGGTGCGTGAATGCATTGTTTCTAATGTTGTGTTCTGTTTTCTCTCTTTTCTGCCTCCCGGATTGTTGATTCTCTTTGCATTCAGAACTCCTCTTCCTTGGGGCTGGGTTTCCTCTGATGTTTGGCGACTTTCGGTTCTGTGCACATCGTATCTCATGATGTGGGCAGCCTGCAAATGGGGCTTCTGAAACCCACCTCTGAGGACCATGGGGCTGAGGTGGGGCTACAGAAGTCTCTATTAAAAATAGAGACTCTATTAAAAACACAAAACTCATCTCTATTAAAAACACAAAAAATTAGCTGGACATGGTGGCACGTGCCTGTAATCCCACCCACCTACTCAGGAGGCTGAGGCAGGAGCATCGCTTGAACCTGGGAGGCAGACGCTGCAGTGAGCTGAGATTGCACCATTGTACTCCAGCCTGGGTGACAGAGTGAGACTCTTAAAAAAAAAAAATTAATAGACTATTTCTTAGAGCATTTTAGGTTTACAGGAAAAGTGAAACAGAGAATACAGAGTTCCCATCTACCCTCTACACCCTTCCCACTCTCCCACAGTTTCTAATAATTATTTATTTATTTGAAGCAGGACATCACTCTGTTGCCCAGGCTAGAGTGCAGTGGTACAATCACAGCTCACTGCAGCCTCAACCTCCTGGGCTCAAGCGATCCTCCCACCTCAGCCTCCCAAGTAGCTGAGAATACAGGCGCGTGCTACCATGCCTGGCTAATTTTTCTATTTTTTTGTAGAGACGGGATTTTGCCATACTGCCCAGGCTGGTCTGGAATTCCTGAGGGCAAATGATCCTTCTGCCTCGGCCTCCTAAATTGCTGGGATTAAAGGCATGAGCCACCATGCCTTACGTTATTTTTACCAACTGAAGTCCATAGTTGATATCAGGGCTCACTCTTGCTGTTGCAGATTCTAGGTTTTAGACAAGCGGATGATGATGCGTATCCACCATCACAGTGGCATTTGGAATAGCTTCGCTGCCCTCAATGTGTGCTGAGCTCATTGGTTCACCTCTCCCTCCCCCTGAACCTCTGGCAGCTACTGATTTTTTTGCTGTCTCGATAGTTTTGTCTTTTCCGGAAATGTCATGTAGTTGGAGTCACAATGTGTAGCTTTTTCAGACTGGTGTCTTCCATTTGGTAATACGCATCTAAGTGTCCTCCGTGCCTTTTTTTTTCGTTAAAAAAAATGGGTACGTTAATTTATTTTTATTTTTAATCCAATTGTAAGTAATCACCGGAGGGTGAGCTGGGAGGAGGAAGCTGCATTCTGGACTCTGCCTGCCCTCTCCTCCTCATCTCAAGAGCTCTCTGGAGAGATGGCTTCCTCCTGTTCCCCTCTGTGACCCTGTCTGTGTCCCATAGATGACCTCGTGGAGAAGAGGCCATGTGCGTGGAACTCCTCCCGTGTCTGCGAATGTCGACCTGGCATGTTCTGTGCCGTGTCTGCCGTCAACTCCTGTGCCCGCTGCTTCCCCCACTCCGTCTGCCCAGCAGGGATGATTGTCAAGTTCCCAGGTCAGTGTCCCCACCCTCGGCCCAGCACAGAGACCTGTGCCATTACTGCTTCACCTTCCACCCACCCCAGTGCACTATTGACATCCGATCTCCCACTTCCCGGAGGCTGCTGGACAGATCGCGTCTCCTTCTGCCATGGCCCAGGGATGTGCCCAGCACCCAGCCCTCTGCTGCCCTCCCCAACCTTGTGTTCCAGGCAAAGAGAGACCCTGCCGTTCCCTAGCATAAACCTGGCTGCAGGATGTCTTGGTTTGGTTTGAGGCTCAAGGCAGAAGTTATCTGATGCCTCATAAGCAAGAAGGAACCCTGAAGTCTCTGTCCTGGGAGTTGGCTTCCCACTTTCAGATTCAGGGCTTTGGGAGTTAGAGGTGCTGAGAGATCGGGCCCCAGGTTCAAGACTGGAGAAACGTGGGTTTCTTTTCCAACTTACCGTGTGATCTCAGACAAACTTCTTACCTCTCTGACTTCTACTTTTCTGATAGTGCAAGGTGTCGGGATTGCTCATAACCAGAGAGGGGTCCGGGCCACAGAACCTGTCTGGGCGGCGTTGGGAACATCTTCCAGAAGGGAGGCGTGAGGAGTGGGTGGGCTTTGAAGCACAGCACAGAATGGGTGCCGCAGCTGCTGGTACATGGAGCAGGGAGATGGGCTCAGACACAGCCCTGTGTCCCCTGGAAAGGGCCACCCTGGAGCCTGTGACCCCTCCCCCAGCCGGGTTCTTCTCTGGAGTCCCATGCCCTGCTGTGCACACCGGGGGATCGGTAGTCTCCCCCATTGCCACCACTGCCTGCTCCTCTTCTCCCTCCCCTCTTCCCTCATCCCTTGCAGCCAGCCATCCTACAGACTTGGCTCCCCCAACGGTCTTCTCCGTCTTCTCACCCCTCATTCCTTCTCTTATTCAGCCCCATGGCAGACAGCCAGAATGACCCTTGCAAAACCAAATCTGGATTTGATCCTCTCCGTCTGTCTGTCTCCCTCCCCGGCCACACACACACGTATATATCTGAAATGCTTCAGTATCTTCCTGTTACTTTAAAGATAAGGACCCAAGGCCAGGCGTGGTGGCTCATGCCAGTAATCCCAGCACTTTGGGAGGCTGAGGCAGGTGGATCATTTGAGGTCAGGAGTTCAAGACCAGCCTGGCCAACACGGAGAAACCCCATCTCTACTAAAAATACAAAAATTAGCCAGGCGTGGTGGCACATGCCTGTAATCCCAGCTACCCAGGAGGCTGAGGCAGGAGCATCACTTGAACCTGGGAGGTGGAGGTTGCAGGTGGCAGTGAGCCGAGATCGTGCCATTGCGTTCCAGCCTAGGTGACAAGAGTGAGACTCTGTCTCAAAAAAAAAAAAAAAAAAAAAAAAAAAGAAACTCCAGGGACTCAGCACTATGTCATTCTTCAGGTCCCAAGGCCCCCAGTCGACTTGCCTTCTTCTCTGTGTCTTTCAGTCTTCTTACATTTATTTTGTACATAATGTCCAGGGCTTTTAGCAGTCCTTAGCTGGAGGAAGACAGAAAAGCGTGTCTACTCCATCTTCCCAGAATCACAGCTCGCTCCTTTCTCCCAGCCTCAGCTCTCAGCCCCAGCCCCTCACTCTCTGTGCTCCACCTCGGCTGCCTTCTTCCGGGTGGGTGGACCTGTGCGCTCTCTGACCCACCCGGCCTCTGCACACGCTGTTCTCTCTGCCGGGGACACCCTTCCCTCTCCATTCACTCAGTCAAATCCTGAGCCCTCCATCCCACTTCCTCAAGAGGCCTTCCCTGGCCTCTCGCCAGGGAAGCTGGCAGCACCGCGCCCTTTGCAAGTGTGTGGATGCCTACCTCTCTCTCCGTCTCATGGTTTGATCGATGCCTGTCTCCCTCCCTGGCTGGAAGCTTCCTGAGGGCAAAGACCATGCCCAGGGTGTTCCTCAGCATCTCCCCACTGCCCGATCAAACGCTAGGCATGGCATGTGCTCCCCATAGAGATTTGCTGAATTAAGGTATGGGGGCACCTGGCAGGGAGATCCAAGCTGGGGGTGGGTGGATTCAGATCTGGTCAAATTCCCCTTGGGTCAGGGGAGAGTGCTGTGCTAAGGAAATGATGAAGTCCTCCACCCACAGGCAGGGAGAGCGTGGGGTGGACGTGGCAGCAGATAACTAGGGTTTTGCAAAGATTTGCAACTGTGGGCCGTGCCTTCACCCGTCTCTGGACCTCAGTCTCCCCATCTGTCAGATGAGGGGGTGTAACTGAAGGCCTCGAGGGCCTCTCCAAAAAAGCCAAACTTCCGAAAAGTTTCCAGCTCAGAAACTTGCATCTCTGTGAAAAACACCCTGAGTCGGGTTGTTCCAGGTGAGGCTTCTGGCTGGAGGGACTGTCTGGGCAGTGTTCCTGAGACTGCCACATGGCGGTGCCAGTCTCGGGAACACTGCCCAGACAGTCAGTCCCTCCAGCCAGAAGCCTCGCCTGGAACAACCGGACTCAGGGTGGCCATTCACTTAAAATGCAGCTGGGGGCTGGACGCGATGGCTCAGGCCTGTGATCCCAGCACTTTGAGTGGCCGTTGAGGACGGATCTTGAGGTCAGGAGTTCAAGACCAGCCTGACCAATAGGATGAAACCCCGTCTCTACTAAAAATACAAAAATTAGCCAGGCGTGGTGGCGCGTTCCTGTAGTCCCAGATACTCAGGAGGCTGAGGCAGGAGAATCGCTTGAACCTGGAGGCACAGGTTGCAGTGAGCTGAGATCATGCCAGTGCACTCCAGCCTGGACAACAGAGAGACTCCATCTCAAAAACAGAGCAAAACAAAAACACATAAAAATGCAGCCATGTCTGCATTGAGAAGTGCTGTGTGTATGCTACACACTGGATTTCAAAAACGGTATAAACAAGAACATGGTTATTTTTTACATTGATTGCCTGCAAACATGATAGTATTTTAGATATATTGGGTGAAAGAAATATACTATGAAAATTAAAATTAATTCCACTTATTTCTTTTTACCTTTATAAATGTGGCTCCTAGAATATTTGAGCTGACTTGTGTGACTCACATATTTCTGTTGGCTGGCACTGCTTTAGAAGTGTTCTAATCTCGGCTGCCAAACCCTGGTTCATCTCCCGGATCCCCTGTGGACTCACCCATGGGGCAGCTCTCGGGGCTTGTTTTTTTCCAGCTATAAAATGGAAAGCAGGTTCTGCCTCCAATCAGCTAAGCCTCACTGGCTCTCTTTCCTTAAATTCTCAAATCTCCATAAGGCAGACAGTATCAGCCCTGTTTTCCAGGTGTGGAAATTGAGGTCCGGAGATGGGAGGTAAATTGCCTGCAAAGACAGAGCAGGAAATATCTAAGCTTAGGTGTGGCCACCCCACCATGCCACGGACGCAAGAGGTCAGCCTTACTGATGCTCACCTCCCCGGAAGGTTTCAGAGCGAAGTCCCATGCATACCGTCACTTTTTAAGTGACAGGACAGGAGTCCAAATGGGGGCAAGGACAAAGCATTTACCATTTGTCACGTGGTGTGATGGGCACCTCATGTACATTCTTCTGTTTATCCTGACGACAGCCTGGTAAAGAGTGTCTCATTATAATCATTTGACTGGGCCGGGCGCGGTGGCTCATGCTTGCAATCCCAGCACTTTGGGAGGCTGAGGCGGGTGGAACACCTGAGATCAGGAGTTCAAGACTAGCCTGGCCAACATGGTGAAACCCCATCTCTACTAAAAATACACAAATTAGCCAGTCATCGTGGTGGGTGCCTGTAATCCCAGCTACTTGGGAGGCTGAGGCAGGAGAATTGCTTAAACCTGGAAGGCAGATGTTGCAGTGAGCCGAGATTGCGTCACTGCACTCCAGCCTGGGTGACAGAGTGAGACTCTGTCTCAAATAAATAAATAAAAATAAATAAATAGAATCATGTGACTTGCCTGGCAGTTAGGACGTGGCAGGCAAACTCAGGGACACTGGATGGATGATGTGTGTGCGTTTTCCTCTCTGCTCTGCTTCCATCCAGCACTCTTCAGGACTCCTTGGATTGCAAGTAGCAAAATCCCCAATTTTTTAGCACATGTAGCTTAAAAGTCGAGATAGCTCTGAGAAGCTTCAGTCATGGCTGGATCCACGACTCCATCTTGCCCTATCTCTCACCTCTGTTTCCCTCTGTGTTGGTTCATCTGCAAGTTACTTACCAGCAGCTCTAGGTTAGCTTCCAGCCCAGCGCCAGCGGGAAGACAGCTTCCCTTTCTTACATCTTTAATATCCAAAACCAAAACCTTTAAATCCCAAATCAAAATCTTTAAATTCCACCTCACGGGCTTGGGTCACATGTCCTCTCCTGAACTGGCTCATCATGGCCAGAGGAAAGGGATGGATTGATTGGTCCAGCCTGGTCTCATGGCCACTCCTAGAAAGTGGGTTCAGTCGGTCCCGACTCCTAACCACAGATACTGAGATCAGAGGGAGAGCAATTCCCCAGGGCAAGTTGGGCTGCTTGACTCCAAAGGGCAACGGACGGCAGGCAGGCACCCCCTCCAGATGACCACTGCATTTTTCTTTTCTTTTTTTTTTTTGTATGAGACAGAGTCTTGCTCTGTCGCCAGGTGCCAGGCGCCAGGCTGGAGTGCAGTGGTGTGATCTCAGCTCATTGCAACCTCCGCCTCCTGGATTCAAGCAATTCTCATGCTTCAGCCTCCCGAGTAGCTGGGATTACGGGCGTGCGCCACCAAGCCCAGCTAATTTTTGTATTTTTAGTAGAGATGGGGTTTCACCATGTTGGCCAGTATAGTCTTGATCTCTTGACCTCGTGATCCACCCGCCTTGGCTTCCCAAAATGCTGGGATTACAGGCTTGAGCCACGGCGCCCGGCCGACTACTGCGTTTTCTAAATGCCCCATCCCCAACTCTGGCTTGTGGTAGTGAAGGGTGTATTCCTGGAGACTTTGGGTCCCCAGCACCGATTCTGAAGGCACTGCTGTCCTACCTGCAGGCACAGCACAGAAGAACACTGTCTGTGAGCCGGCTTCCCCAGAGATCAGTACTGCCTGTGCCAGCCCAGAGAACTGCAAGGACCCTACCAGGTGACTCCCTGCCTCTGTCTCCTGCCCTTTTCACAAGCTGACCTTTGGATGAGGCCGCCCTACCCCACAGGATGCCCGGGGTACATTTGGGCTGGGGGCATAGGTAGGGTTCAGCTCATGGTGTCAGAACTCCCAGGTGCCTCTCCGCCAAACCATCAGATCATTTGAGGCCCTAGGGTGTGCCCAGCCCTGCCCTGAGCACACGGGAAACCCAGAAGGCCTAGAAAGCATAGGCCTTGCTCCCAGGAGCTTACAGCAGGCCCACCAGAGGCAGTGGGCCGAGGGCCTGGGACCCTGTCTCTGTGGAAACTGTTATCCCTGAGCACAGGCCTTCCTTGCCCCACTGGCAGAATTGTCAGTCCTGTCTCTGGCTTCTTCCCCAGTGGCACCATCCTGCAGACCAAGCCCACTCTGGTGTCCCCAGCAACCACTAATGCCAGCACCGTGCCTCTAAGCGGGGTCGCCCATCTCGCCCAGGAAGCTGCTTCTAAATTGACAATGGCTCCCAACGCTCCCTCCTCTGTGGGATGGCCTAGTTCACATCCAGGTAATTTCCCCATGAAGCTGTGGGTCATCTCCCTGGGGTGCCTGATTGCTGGATGGCCCGTGAGTGGGGGTGTTTGAGGCAGGTGGACATGGATCTGTGGTCTCTTCCTGGTGGGGAGAGGAGAGTGGTAAGGTCTAATGCTGAAAGCATCAAGGGCCAGAGGTAGATACAAGAGGGCTCATTCATTTGCCAGCAGTGCAGAGGGCCTGCCATGTGCCAGGCACTGGTGCCCGCCTCTCACCTCTATTTCCCTCTATGTTGGTTTGTCAGAGGGAAATGGGTCCCACTCTACTGTTGTGCCACTTGTGATGCAGCTGGCCGGCCTCTGCACATGTCCACTTGATGCCCTTCTGGTCCCCATGGCGAAGGGTCGACCCTCAGTGTCAGGGTCGCCTCACATTGGGGCGCCACTGTCTGGGTCACTACTTGTGGGGGTCTGTCCTGCAGATCTTGACTTAGTGACGGGTGAGTAAACTACACTGACAGCTATTATGCTTTGCTAGCTGGGCTGAGGGTCTGGCGGCTTACAGACTCCCCAGAGAGTGCTGTAAAGCGATAGCAGCTGCCAACCCTCCTTAGCCAGTGAGACTCGCATTTATTTAGTAAAGTTTAATTGACAAAGGCTTGAGTCAACACCACTAGAGGTTAAAGATCAAAGCACAGGTTCTGATGCTTAAAGCAAATATGGTTAGAGAGTAATATCTTTGGTCCACTTCCTCTTGAGGGGGCCATCTGGCTCAAAGGTTAGTTTTAAGACTACAGTAAACAAGCTAGTTAGGTAAACTCCACATACCTTAGCTATCTGCTTTACTAATTAACTAAATGTAAAGGGGATTTAGGCTGCCTTCAGCCAAGAACTATAGAAAAAACCTTTAGGCGTTCTAAAAGAGTTTGAGACTATATAACTTTCTCTAATATTTTTCCCACCACCCTGAGTTAATTCCCACAAGATAGTCCATTTTTATTACTGAATAGCCCTCCATGGCATAGATATGCCATGCTCTGTTTATCCAGTTTTTGGGTATTTGGGTTGTTTCTGCCTTTGGCTGTAATGAAGAATGAAAAATACATCCTCATGTGCACGTGCTTTCCTTTCCTTGGGTTGGATTTGTAGGACTTCTAACAATTTGGGGTTTGAGCTCTTTTCCTGTAGTTGTACCTTCTGCCCTGTAGCTTGTTTGCTCATTCCTTCCATGGTGTCTTTTGTTTGTTTGTGGTTTTTTTTTTTTTTTTTTTTTTTTTTCTGAGGCAGAGTCTTGCTGTGTCGCCCAGGCTGGAGTGCAGTGGTGCGATCTTGGCTCACTGCAACCTCCACCTCTTTGATTCAAGTGATTCTCCTGCTTCAGCCTCCCGAATAGCTGGGGTCACAGGCACACACCACCATGCCTGGCTAGTTTTTTTTTTTTTTTTTTTTTTGTAGTTTTAGTGCAGAGAGGGTTTCACTATGTTGGCCAGGCTGGTCTCAAACTCCTGGCCTCAAGTGATCCACCTGCCTTGGCCTCCCAAAGTCCTAGGATTATAGGTGTGAGCCACCACGCCCGGCCCACATGGGACTTTAAAAGATGGAGGCAGGAGGCACCCCCCACCCTGCCCAATACCATTCTGAACAGAAGTTATGCTAGTGTGCTGAGCTCTGAGGGAAGCTGTTCCCAAAGTTTTGAGCAGGGGAGTGACAGTGCCATGAGACAGGGAGGGGGGAAGCTGCGGCATGGTGGGCTCAGGAGGAACAGTAGGCAGGGGCTGATGGGGGCGGTGAGCGTTCTTCACCCAGCGTTCCTGTCCTCTCTGAGCTCAGAACTCCCTCTGAAAGGCTGAACTGAGCTGACCTGCAGAGTTTGGGAGCTGGCCATGCTGAGGGATGGGGGGCTTCAGGGCTGGGTGGGGAGTGAGGCCTTTGCCAAGGCAGCCTGGCCTACAGCTTCTCCACTTATTTCCCCAGGTCTGTCCCCAACACAGCCATGTCCACAGGGGTCCGGCGAGTGTAGGAAGCAATGTGAACCAGACTACTACCTGGACAGGGCTGGCCGCTGCACGGCCTGTGTGAGCTGTTCTCGAGGTAAGAGCCTCGTCCCTCTCAGAGTTCCTTCCAGGGAGCACGGGGCGGTCTTGGAGGGAAGGCTGAGACTCTGTGGGTGGAAAAACCCACCTTTGCTTTTGGCTGCTCGGTCTTGGGAGCCTCAGTTTCCCTCTCTGCATATTTGAACTGTGAACTTCCAGTAGCTCACCGTCATGTTTGTGGGTTTTGATGGGGGTCTCTGCTTTTTAAAGAGCTCCCATCTGCATAGCCTTTCCTTCGAGGAAGCATTTGTGAATCACCTGCCTGTTCCAAACTCAGCTCATTAATGTTTGTAACCACTCTATGATTCAAGGATTGTGATCATCCCCCCACCCCCTTTTTTTGGATATGGAGTCTCGCTCTGTCACCAGGCTGGAGTGCAGTGGCATGATCTTGGCTTACTGCAACCTCTGCCTCCCAAGTTCAAGCGATTCCCCTGCCTCAGTCTCCCAAGTAGCTGGGACTACAGGTGCATCCCATCACACCTGGCTAGTTTTTTGTATTTTAGTTGAGATAAGTTTTCACCGTATTGGCCAGGATGATCTCCAACTCCTGACCTTGTGATCCATTCGCCTTGGCCTTCCAAAATGCTGGGATTACAGGCATGAGCCACCACGCCCGGCCCATTGCCCTTTTATAGAAGAGGAAATGGAGGCATTGGGAAGCCAGGGAACTTCCAAGGGTGCAGGCTGGAGTTCGAACCCAGACAAGTGCCACCAGATTCCAGGTTCTCGTCCACCCCACTGGCTGCCTCCATGAGCCACGTCTTTTTTTCCCCCAGACAGGGTCTCACTCCTTCACCAGACTGCATTGCAGTGGTGTGATCATAACTCACTGCAGCTGAGACGTCCCAGGATCAAATGATCCTTTTGCCCCAGTCCCCCAAGTATCTGGAACTACAGGCACACACCACCATGCCTGGCTAATTAAAACAAATTTTTTTTTGGCCGGGCGCAGTGGCTCACGTCTGTAATCCCAGCACTTTGGGAGGCTGAGGCGGGGTGATCACAAGGTCAGGGGATTGAGACCATCCTGACCAACATGGTGAAACCTCATCTCTACTAAAAATACAAAAAATTAGCCTGGCGTGGTTGCACATACCTCTAGCCCCAGCTACTAGGAGGCTGTGGCAGGGGAATCGCTCGAATCCGGGAGGCAGAGGTTGCAGTGAGCCAAGATTGTGCTACTGTACTCCAGCCTGGGCGACAGAGTGAGACCTTCATCAAAAAAAAAAAAATTTTTTTTTTTTTTTTTTGTAGAGATAGGGGTCTCCCTCTGTCACCCAGGCCGTTCTTAAAACTTCTGGGCTCAAATGGTCCTCCCACCTCAGCTTCCCAAACTGCTGGGATTGCAGGTGTGAGCCACAGCACCTGGCTTGGGAGCCACTTTGACCAGCACTTACCGAGTGGCCGCTGCACACAATGCAGGATGAGGGTGGGGGGCTTCCCCGCATCCATCACCACCTCCCAGCACCAGCAGCGCCCTGAGGGTCACGTGGGCAGGGAGAGTTGCTCAGGCCAAGGCTGCTGGGGCTGTTAGAAGCCCCGGCTATTTACAGAGGCCACTGGGAATCCATGAGTCTGTCTCCTTGTCCAGGGCTTTTGGGCAGCAAAGCAGACCGCAGAGTCTGGGGAGGCCAGAAAGAGCGACAGACCCTCTGTTGTCCAGGGAGGTCTCCGTCCTAGTTACTAAGCCTGCATAGCAAATGTTCTTCAAACTTAGTGGTGCAAACAAACCATTCTTTGTACTCACAGATTCTGTGAGTCAGAATTTAGACGGCACTGCGGGGACAGCTTGTCTCTGCTCCACAATGTCTGGGGTCTTAGCTGGAAAGCCTGAAAGCTGGGAATCAGGATCCTCTGAAGCCTCATTCCTTCACCTGCCTCGATGTTGATGTTGGCTCCTGGCTGGGGCCTCGGGTCCTCTCCATGTCGGCCTCTTTACATCTTACCTGGGGCTTCCTCGTGATCTGGTGGCTGGGTTCTAAAAGTGAGGTCTTTTTCCTTTTTTGTATTTTTAGTAGAGACGAGGTTTCACCGTGTTGGCCTGCTGGTTCCAAACTCCTGGGCTCAAGTGATCCGCCTGCCTCGGCCTCCCAGAGTGTTGGAATTACAGGTGTGAGCCATTGCGTCAGGCCATAAAGATCTTGAGAGAGAGACAGGAGAGAAAGCAAGACAGAAAGAGAAAGGGAGAGAGAGAAAAAGAAAGAGAAAGAGAGAGAGAGACAAAAAGAGGGAGAGAGGGAGGGAGAGAGGCCGCAGCCGCATCTTTTATGACTAGCCTCAGAAGTCACATGGCAGAGCTTCTGCCACTTTCTGTTTGCTGAGGCAGCCACAAATCTCACTTGAGACTCAGGAAAGGAAAACAGTTGTAATTCTTTTTTTTTTTTTTTTTTCCTTTTTGAGACAGTATTGCACTGTCGCCCAGGCTGGAGTGCAGTGGCATGATCTCAGCTCACTGTGACCTCCACCTCCCAGGTTCAAGCAATTCTCTTGCCTCAGCCTCCTGAGTACCTGGGATTACAGGCACCTGCCATCACACCTAGCTAGCTTTTTGTATTTTTAGTAGAAGCGGAGTTGCACTTCTTGACTGGTAAGTGGCAAAGCTCTGGGAGGGCCAGAAACATCACTGTGACCACTTTTTGGGAAAATACCGTAGGGCACAACCACCATGTGGACCCATGGAGAAAGAAGAGCTGGCTCTGGGCCCCATAATTCCTTCAGCTCTCCTAACTGAAGCTCTACGAGGCAGTGGAGTGGAGCATTAGTAGCTAAGGGCATGAGCTCTAGAACCCGAGTGCCGGGGTTCGGATCCCGCCTCTTCCACTTGATAGCCTAGAAGCTCAAGCAGGTTTCTTAACCTCCTTGTACCTGTTTTCTCAGCTGCAAAATGGGCATAATAGTATCCACCTCGAGAACTGTGTGAGAATTAAATACATGATCGTAGGTTCATCTGGGTAGAGTGCAGAGGCTACTGTCTCACACATACTCAATTATCTTAAGAGCTACCGTAATAATAATAGCTGCCATTGTCCCACGTGGTTTCATTCATCGCTGAGCTCACGCACTCCTGCTGCACAAACTCCCCCAATCCTGCCCAGTTCCCTTGCTCTGGAGGCTGCAGGAAGAGACCGTCCAGCCCTTATCATTGTCATGTTGGCTCTCTAAGTATCCTGCTGATTGAGAAACATTCTTGTGGAGAAGTCATTTGCCTAATCTGCTGATTCAGTCCTTCTGCTTTACCTCCAAATGGAGCATGGCAAAATATTTGCGAACATGTACAAGTGTATTATCACACTTCTTAGAAATAATAACTCTAGCATTTTATTCTATTCATTATTTATTATTATTTTTTGAGACGGAGTCTTGCTCTGTCGCCAAGCTGGAGTGCAGTGGTGCGATCTCAGCTCACTGCCACCTCTGCCTCCCAGGTTCAAGTGATTCTCCTGCCTCAGCCTTGTGAGTAGCTGGGACTACAGGTGCGTGCCACCACGCCCAGCTGATTTTTGTATTTTTAGTAGAAACAAGGTTTCACCATGTTAGCCAGGATGGTCTTGATCTCTTGACCTCGTGATCTGCCTGCCTTGGCCTCCCAAAGTGCTGGGATTACAGATGTGAGCCACCGTACCCAGCCAACATTTAATTGTTTGCTTTGGAGAAAAAAAATCTTTTTTTTTTTTTTTTTGAGATGAAGTTTCGCTCTGTCACCCAGGCTGGAGTACAGTGGTGCGATCTTGGCTCACTACAAACTCCACCTCCTGGGTTCAAGCCATTCTCCTGCCCCAGCCTCCTGAGTTGCTGGGATTACAGGTGTGCACCACCATGCCCGGCTAATTTTTGGATTTTTAGTAGAGATGGGGTTTCACCATGTTGGTCAGGCTGGTCTGAAACTTCTGACCTCAAGTGATCCACCCTCCTTGGCCTCCCAAAGTGTTGGGATTACAGACGTGAGCCACCACACCCAGCCAAAAAGTCTTTTTATCATTACAAATTTCAAACATCGGCTGGGTGCGGTGGCTCACGCCTGTAATCCCAGCACTTTGGGAGGCCGAGGCAGGCGGATCACTTAAGGTTGGAAGTTTGAGACTGGCCTGACCAACAGGATGAAACCCCGTCTCTACTAAAAATACAAAATTAGCCGGGTAAGGTGGCACATGCCTGTAATCCCAGCTACTCGGGAGGGTGAGGCAGGAGAATTGCTCGGACCCGAGAGGTGAAAGTTGTGGTGAGCTGAGATCTCACCATTGCACTCCAGCCTGGGCAACAAAAGCGAAACTCTGTCTCAAAAAAAAAAAAAAAAAAAAAATTTTTTCAAACATATTCAGCTGCAGAGCTAGTCAAATATGGCTGTGTATCATCACCCAGCTTTAAACTGTTACAGAGTCACGGCCAGTCTCGGCTCCTCTGCACCCACGACCACTCGCCCCATCCCTGGGGGACTTTCTTTTAACAGCTTTAGGGAGAGGTAGTTGTCATATGGTAAAATGCACAAATTAAAGGCTGCGATTTGATAAGTTTTGACAAATGCATGCAGCTGAGCAACCAGCCATATCTCCATAAAAGTTACCTTGGGCTCCTCGTCACCATTTCCCACCCCCTACTTATGGTCACCATGCAATAGTATGCATTTTCTTTTTTCTTTTTCTTTTTTGTTGAGATGGGAGTCTTGCTCTATCACCAGGCTGGAGTGCAGTGGTGTGATCGCCTCCCCAGTTCAAGCAATTCTCCTGCCTCAGCCTCCTGAGTAGCTGGGACTACAGGCCCGTGCCACCATGCCCGGCTACTTTTTTTTTTTTTTTTTTTTTGAGATGGAATTTCACTCTTGTTACCCAGGCTGGAGTGCAATGGCGTGATCTCGGCTCACTGCAACCTCCGCCTCCTGGGTTCAGGCAATTCTCCTGCCTCAGCCTCCTGAGTAGCTGGGATTACAGGCACATGCCACCATGCCCAGCTAATTTATTTTTGTATCTTTAGTAGAGACGGGGTTTCACCATGTTGACCAGGATGGTCTTGATCTCTTGACTTCGTGATCCACCTGCCTCGGCCTCCCAAAGTGCTGGGATTACAGGCTTGAGCCACCGTGCCTGGCATTAATTTTTGTATTTTTAGCGGAGATGGGGTTTCACCATGTTGGTCAGCCTGGTCTCGAACTCTCAACCTTGTGATCTACCTGCCTCAGCCTCCCAAAGTGCTGGCATTACAGGCATGAGCCACTGTACCTGGCAATAGTTTGCATTTTCTAGAAATTCATGTAAATGCAACATACAGAATGTTCTCCCTTTTGCCTGCTTTCTTTCGCCCTGCGTCATTGTTTTGAGCTTGCCAGGAGAGCCGCTAGATTCCAGAGTCAGTGAGCGTTTGTTTTCTTGTGGGATGAACCCTAGACTGCTGCTTCTCTGTCCTTCTGGGGGCTCTCTGGACCCCTGCTCTTGCCACCCTGGTCTTTCCCCATGACCATCTTCTGTGTCCCTTAGATGACCTGGTGGAGAAGACGCCCTGTGCATGGAACTCCTCCCGAGTCTGCGAATGTCGACCTGGCATGTTCTGTGCAGTGTCAGCCATCAACTCCTGTGCCCGCTGTGTCCCCTACCCGATCTGTGCAGCAGGGATGGTCACCAAGCCCCAGGGTAAGCAGTTCCCACCCCAAGCCTTGACCTCAAGGCGAAGTCTGTGCCCCCACTGCTGAGCCTCTCCCCACCCCCAGCTGAGCCTCTCCCCACCCCCAGCCAGGGGTGGGGGCAAATGATCTGTACCCTCGACTGTTGATTAGGTCAGATTTGGGCTGGGCGCAGTGGCTCACGCCTGTAATCCCAGCACTTTGGGAGACCGAGGTGGGTGATCACCTGAGGTGGGGAGTTCAAGACCAGTCTGACCAACATGGAGAAACCTCGTCTCTACTAAAAATGTAAAATTACCTGGGCGTGGTGAATGCCTGTAATCCCAGCTACTCAGGAGGCTGAGGCAGGAGGATTGCTTGAACTTGGGAGGTGGAGGTTGCAGTGAGCTAAGATCATGCCACTGCATTCCAGCCTGGGCAATAAGAGCAAAACTCCATCTAAAAAAAACCAAAAATCAAATTAGGTCAGGTCTGGGTTCTGGTTATCCTTTGAGTAGTTAGACCCAGTGAATGAAATGATAAAATAAAATCCAGTTTTAGCATTCTGGTAAGACATTCTGTTAATTAAAAAAAAAAATTCTTCGTGAAATGATTGGGCTGGTAAGATCTTGACCTGTTTGCAAGGCTGTTTTATTGACTCAGAGATGAATATCAGGTTTCTGAAGAGGTTTCCAACTCAGGACAGTTGGCTTTACCAGTGTGCAGGAAACTATAAAACACTGGCAGTTTGTTTTTTTTTTTTTAAAGGGATTTAAGAGATTTCAACAAATTTCCATGTGGTGACAAAACCAAGTGGGGTGGCTGGGTGTCGTGGCTCACGCCTGTAAATCCCAGCACTTTGGGAGGCCGAGACAGGTGGATCACTTGAGGTCAGGAGTTTGAGACCAGCCTGACCAACATGGCAAAACCCCGTCTCTACTAAAAATCCAAAAATTAATCGGGTTTGGTGGTAGGTGCCTGTAGTCCCAGCTACTCGGGAGGCTGAGGCAGGAGAATCGCTTGAACTGAGGAGGCAGAGGTTGCAGTGAGCTGAGATTGCACCACTACACTCCAACCTGGGTGACAGAGCAAGACTGTCAAAAACAAAAAAAAACCAAAACCACCAAGTGGAGGAAAGGTCACCCCGTCACCCCATGTGACTCTGTGAGGGCTGCTGGAGAAGTGAGGGGTGACTTGCTTCTCGGACCTCCAGTGAGTCTCTGGGCTAGTAACAGGCAGGCAGATGAAAAGCAGGAGGGAAGTGGAAGATTTGAAGCCCCAGTATCGTCTTTTTTTTTGATACGGAGTCTCGCTCTGTTGCCCAGGCTGGAGTGCAGTGGCGCAATCTTAGCTCACTGCAATTTCTACTTCCTGGGTTCCAGCGATTCTCCTGTCTCAATCTCCTGAGTAGCTGGGATTGATTACAGGCGCCTGCCACCACACCCGGCTAATTTTTGTATTTTTAGTAGAGACGGGGTTTTGCCATGTTGGCCAGGCTGGTCTGAAACTCCCGACCTCAAGTGATCCACCCGCCTCCACCTCCCAAAGTGCTGGGATTACAGCATGAGCCACCGTGCCCGGCCAACAATCATCTTTTTTTTTTTTTTTTTTGAGACGGAGTTTCGCTCTTGTTACCCAGGCTGGAGTGCAATGGCGCGATCTCGGCTCACCGCAACCTCCGCCTCCTGGGTTCAGGCAATTCTCCTGCCTCAGCCTCCTGAGTAGCTGGGATTACAGGCACGTGCCACCATGCCCAGCTAATTTTTTGTATTTTTAGTAGAGACGGGGTTGAATCAGAATATTGAAGGAATACCTGGGGAAAGCTTGGGCCACCAGCGGCCTGCTGTCACTCTGCTCATGGAGCCCTCTTTACTTGGGTTTTTGGAAGGCACTTGTCAACAGGCTAGCCCCACCTCATTACCCTGAAATGGAGGCTGCCGGCTCATACTCTCTGTCCATGGGCCCAGGGTTCCCAGGCTGACTTCCTACTCAGGGGAGAGACCCACTGCGAACAAGACGTACTAACACAGCAGCAGAAGCAGCCCTCCCTCTCACTGACTGGAATACTCAGTACCGTCCTTAGGATTTCATTGTGTTTGCATAAATGTATGGGGTACAAGTGTAATTTTGTTACATGTTTAGATTAGATGGTAGTGAAGTCAGGGCTTTTAGGGTACCCATCACCCAAATGGGTACAATGTACCCAAAGCATATATTGTACCCCTTAAATATTTTCTCATATTTTTAGTAGAATTTTTAATCCCCAGTATTGTCTTTGAATCCCCACCTCTCACCCCCCACCCTTGTAAGTCTGTTGCCTTTTATTCCACTCTCCACCTCCACAGTAGACACAGTATTTCACTCCCACTGAGAAGTGAGAACGTGCAGTATTTGTCTTTCTGTCTGAACGTTTGCACTTGAGGCAATGGCTTTCAGTTCCATTCGTGTTGCTGCAAAAGACATGATTCATTCCTTATGATGGCTGAGTAGTATTCCACTGCATATAGAGGCCACATTTATCTATTGGTGGATGCGTGGATGCAGCATAACTCCTCTTCTTCCTCTTCTTTGTTTATTTGAGATCAAGTCTCGCTCTGTTGCCCAGGCTGGAGTGCAGTGGCATGGTCTCAACTCACGGCAACCTCTGGCTCCTGGCTTCAAACGATTCTCCTGTCTCAGCCTCCCAAGTAGCTGGGACTACAGGCGTGTACCACCACGCGTGGCTAATTTTTTTATTTTTAGTAGAGATGAGGTTTCACCATACTGGCCAGGCTGGTCTTGAACTCCTGACCTCAGGTGATCTGGCTGCCTTGGCCTCCCAAAGCGTTGGGATTACAGGCATGAGCCCACACCTGGCCAAGCATAACCCTTTTAAAATAAATATGGGGGCTGGGCGCGGTGGCTCAAGCCTGTAATCCCAGCACTTTGGGAGGCCGAGGCGGGTGGATCACGAGGTCAAGAGATCAAGACCATCTTGGTCAACATGGTGAAACCCTGTCTCTACTAAAAATACAAAAAATTAGCTGGGCATGGTGGCGCGTGCCTGTAATCCCAGCTACTCAGGAGGCCGAGACAGGAGAATTGCCTGAACCCAGGAGGCGGAGGTTGTGGTGAGCCGAGATCGCGCCATTGCACTCCAGCCTGGGTAACAAGAGCGAAACTCCGTCTCAAAAAAAAAAATAAAATAAAATAAAATAAATACGAATGAGCAGAGACTTATAAGGAAAACCAGCCCTACAAAGGAGAATAAAAAGATATGAAAACAGAAATTCTTATCACACGCGAAGTCATGGTAGACCCGGGAGTAGAAGAGAACTTAGCTTCATGAAGTTTGTGTCTACAGAAAAATTCCCGAACTTGTTACCTCCGTAAGTTGAGCACAGAATGCTATGAAAAACAACAGTGCCCCCAGAACCTAAAATGCAATATATATAAAGAAAAAGAACAATGCAAGGTCAGAGGACAAGAAACGGCTCTTTAGAAAGTGCTTGTGATCAGCCCATACGCTCCAGGCTCTCCATTCACCTTTCCGTCCCTGCCATGCCGTCAAGGACTGGGCTCCACGCTTGCCAGCAGAGGGCGCTGGAGGGCCATCGTGGGAGGAAGGAGGCTTCTGGCCGCGTTTGCTGCTGCTTGCTCCTGCTGCCTGGGCCTGGTGACCACCTCGATGTGACCAACGCAGACACTGGCATGTGCCAGGCCTCATGTCTGCAAAAGTGTCCTGACTCCCTCTGTGCGTCCCCCACCAGCCACAGGTCTTCGGCACCCCAGAGTGCTCCAGGCGTCTCCCCCACAGTGGCAGCCCACATTTGTCTATGTACCTGACCAGAAGCATCGACTTCAGATCCAAAGGACCTACTGAGAGCAAAACAGGATCCATGGAAATTCCCCACGCTGCACGTAATAGATGTACCACCGTGTGTTCATCCACCTGCCAGCTGATGGCATTTGGGTTGTTTCCCATTTAGGGCTATTATGAATGAAAGCAACTGTTAATATTTTTTAAAACAGGTATGAATTTATTTTATATCTTTTATTTATCTATTTTTTTTAGAGACAGAGTCTCACTCTGTGTTCCAGGCTGGAGTGCAGTGGCATGATCTTGGCTCACTGCAGCCTTGAACTCCTGGGCTCAAGCAATCCTCCCACCTCGGCCTCCCACAGTGCTGAGATTACTGGCATGAACCACCATGACTGGCCAATTCTTATACAAGTCTTTGGGTGGATGTATACTTTCGTTTCTCGTGGGTAAATACCTAGGAGGAGTGGTTGAGTCATTGTGCTGGTCACATAGTTAGAGTGTTTTTGAGGACTAGTCAAAGCTGGTTACCTCTGGTCTGATCTAACCTTGGTTTTACACCCAGAGAGAAGCTCAGGGCTGAAGCTAGAGCCAGAATGAGGGATCCCAAGGGTCAGCCCTGGGTACTGTCCGCTGGAAGACACCACCCACTCACCTCCTTCTTAGTTCTGAACCTAGAATTTACCCAGCTAAATTACAATCACCCCAGCTATATTACAATCAAGTTTGAAGGCAGCATAAAAACATTTTCAAAAGGTCCAGAAAGCTTTTCTTCCTATATTCTCTCTTAGGAAGTTATTTGAAGATGTAATTCAGCTAAATGAGGGAGCAAAAAAGAAAGAAAAAAAAAAACAAAAACAGGAAGCCATGGAAGCTAGAAAACAGCACATCATCCTAGCAGAGCAAGGAAGGAAAGTCCCAGAATGGCGTGCTCTAGACCAGTTTAGCCAGATCAGAGCCGGAAATGGAAGGAAGCCTCCAAAGAAGTTTTCCTAGGAATGCAAGAGAGAATTGCAGTAAATTTCATGATTTCTACAGTAGAAAAACCTGAGGATATGGAGAGGGCACACTATCCTTTTATCAACAAGAAAAAGAAAGGCAATTGAAAATTCCAGGGAAAAGAAAAAGCTGACAAGAAATATACAGTCTGAATACGGAGATAAAATTTCACCTGATTTTAAGCAATTGCTGGATGTACGAAAAGAGAATCCATTTGGCCTTGATGCTAAGACCAAATGGCCCAAGGATTGAGTATTTGGATTTAAAGAGAAGTATATCCATCTGGTAAATAATATCTTTTTTTTTTTTCGTTCTTAAATGGAGGCTAAGAGTAGGCAGATTCCTTTTTTCTCTTCCAACAGGCCCTTACCAGAGAACACAGACCAACTAAGGGCTAGACATTGTCTTCTCCTCACCTCCAAATCCAAAGGAGGAGAAAAAGGGGAGCATCACTAAATCAGGAAGGAAGAAGGAAAGTTACAAGTGAAATGTGGTACATTCAGAGAGGGGACGAGAGGCACCCAAGGGGTACTAGGTCTCCCCCTTCTACACGTAGAGCAGGGAGAGCAGATCTGTCGCTGGGTTTCAGCAGGTGTTTCGGTAGCAGCTGAGACCATGGGCCTGTCTAGTTACATCAGGCTGCCTTGGAGAGAAGGCAGGGGGCTCTCTCTTCATCATGCTAACTGGGAATAGCCACACAGTTAGTGGGTTTGAGCACCAGAGAGCCAATCCACTCAAAGTAAACGTTCACTGAAACCCAATGACATTTCGAACACGGATTCAAATACTGATTAACAAATATATAGAAACCATCACAACACATGGCGTCATCTTCCCCATAGTTTCCAGCCTCCAGGCTCCAACTGATTCAGCTAAGAGTCTAGTGACCTTCCTGAAAGAAGAGGATTCCTCAGAACCCTACAATCCAAGAAGGAAATTAAAACTGGCTTCACTTTTTTGTCTGTTTCAGGGAAAATCTGAGAGGCACTTCGAGAACTTTCTAGAGGGGAGATGTGTGTGTGTGTGGGGGGGTTGCTTTGTACCACATCAAAAGGGGTGCTGTCACCAGGGCTGTGGGGGCGGAGAGGTGTAGCGGCTGAGTATAACCCACTTCTAATGTGGGACAAACTTTCCTGCCCCCAAAAAACAGGAAGTTTCGAAGAGGGTGCCCAGTCCCCAGGGAGGAGGCAGTGCTGGCTGGCCAGAGGAGAGTCCTGGGCTCGAACGCACCATCTCTGTTTCCTGGCTCTCACTCCAGCCCTGTGGTTCTCTCCATCTGTAAAACAAGGTGGCTGGGTCAGACTAGTGGTGGCCAGCTTTGAACTGGCCTTCAAAGACGTTCCCACTGGCCAGCACAGCAATCCAGCTACCCTTCCTGGGCACTCAAGAGGAATGAAATTATGTGTTCACACAGAGGCATGCACAAGGCATAGCTGTCTTGTTCATCATAGTTCAAACGGAAGCAACCCAAATGTCCGTCAGCTAGTGAAGGGTATGTAAATGGTGGTACATCTGTACAACAGAACGCCATTCAGCAACAGAAAGAAACGAACATGAGTGAATATCAAAAACAATATGCAGCGTGAAAGAAGCCAGACCCCAGAGTACATACTGCATGATTCTGTCGACATAAAATGCAGAATCAGTGGTTGCTGGATCTGGAGGCAGGGGCAGAATGAGTGAGGAGGAGCACCAGAGAACCTTCTGGAGGGATGAGAGTGTTCTGCATTTTATTTTTTTGAGACAGAGTCTAGCTCTGTCGCCAGGCTGGAGTGCTGTGGTGCGATCTTGGCTCACTGCAACCTCTGCCTCCCAGGTTCAAGTGATTCTCCTGCCTCAGCCTCCCGAGTAGCTGGGATTACAGGCACATGCAGCCACACCTAGCTAATCTTTGTATTTTTAGTAGAGATGGAGTTTCACCATGTTTGCCAAGATGATCTTGATCTCCTGACCTAGTGATCTGCCCACCTCAGCCTCCCAAAGTGAAGGAATTATAGGTGTGAGCCATCACGCCTGGCCAAGAATGTTCTGTATTTTTATTGGAATTACAATTACCTTTATTGGAACTCATGAGGCTGTACACGCTTAGGAACATTTTCTTTTTGATTTATTTAAAAATAGAGACAGAGTATTCCTATGTTGTTCAGTCTGGTTTAGAACTCCTGAGCTCAAGTGATCCGCCCACCTCGGTCTCCCAAAGTGCTGGGATTACAGGCGGGAGCCACCGTACCCTGCCGTGAGGATACGTTCTTGTTTATAAATTATGCCTTAGGCTGGGTGCGGTGCTCACACCTGTAATCCCAGCACTTTGGGAGACTGAGGTGGGCGGATCACTCGAGGTCAGGAGTTTGGGACCAGCCTGGCTAACATGGTGAAACCCCGTCTCTACTAAAAATACACAAATTAGCTAGCTGTGTTGGCAAGCGCCTGTAATCCCAGCCATTCGGGAGGCTGAGGCAGGAGAATCACTTGAATCCGGAAGGCGGAAGTGGCAGTGAGCCGAGATCACACCACTGTACCCTAGCGTGGGCAACAGAGGAAGACTCCATCTCTAAAACTAAAAAAACAAAAAATAGTAAATTAATTATGCCTTAACAAAGTTGATTTAAAAGAAAAAAACTTTAAAAACTGAGGCTGTATTTATACATTAAGAGACTTCAGGTTTCCCTTAAGTAAAGCAAAAGGTCTAGTGTCACTGTGTCACCTTCCTGGGTGACCACAGCTGTCAGAGATGAGCAGCAGCTTCTCCACTTTGTTTTATTTATTTATTTATTTTGCGTCTTGCTCTGTTGCCCAGGCTGGAGTGCAGTGGCATGATCTCGGCTCACTGCAGCCTCCACCTCCCTGGTTCAAACAATTCTCCTGCCTCAGCTTCCTGAGTAGCTGGGATAACAGGTGTGTGCCACCACACCTGGCTAATTTTTGTGTTTTTAGTAGAGATGGGGTTTCACCATGTGGGTTGGCCAGGCTGGTCTTGAACTCCTGAACTCAATGATCCTCCTGCCTCAGCCTCCCAAACTGCTGTGATTATAGGTGTGAGCCACTATGCTTGGCCAGCTTCCCCACTTTGATCTTTTGAAACACAAATCTGACTATCTTACCTCCTATGGTGCTGCCTCCCTGGAAGCCACCAGTCCCTGCTGGTTAACTCTTTCCTGGACATACAGCCTCCTTGGCGCTGGTTCTCAGCTGTTACCTCCCCCCTGCAGATATGGCTGAGAGGGACACCACCTTTGAGCCGCCAACCCCGGTGGCCCAGCCTGACTGCATCCTCACCGCAGAGAATGGCGAGACGCCTGCCAGGTGACTCCTCAGCCCTTCGCTCTGTTTGGCTGCTGCAGGAGGGAGCTGTTCCTGCCATGCCCAGGGGATTTCTGGGGGCAGCTGGGCTAGGGGCAGCTGGGCTGGGGGTGGAGGTGGGGCCTGGGCTGCTTTTTGGGAATGTGTGCCCATCTCTGAGCTGGCACCACTGGAAAGCCAGAAGACCTCGAAACCTAGTCTCTGCCCTCAAAATGCCTGGCAGAAACTTGGCACAGAGGATCTAGGGACCCAGACCCCGGCTGTACAGTCTCCAGGGAAAGGGAATGATTCCTGAGCACACACTTCCCTCTTCCCATCCCTGTCCCTCCTGCCTTGGGCTTCTCCCTGCAGCACCAGCTCCACCCTGAGCTCCCTGGTGGATTCCCAGGCCAGGAAGACGCTGCCCATCCCAACCAGCGCTCCCATGGCTCTCTCCTCCACTGGGAAGCCCATTCTGGATCCAGGTAATGATCCCAGCCCACCCACCTCCATCCCAGCAGGGGCTTCTTCCTGGGGAAATGGGGGCCCAGGGAAGCCAGAAGGGAGCTTCTCCTTTGTGGTGTGGCTTGGGAGGGGGATCAAGGTCAACCCCAGGTTTCTGGCTTCTTGAGTTGGGGCTGCGACTCTAGCACTTGCTAGTGACTTTTTTTTTTTTTTTTTTTTTTTTTAAACAGAGTCTCACTCTGTTGCCGGAGTGGCTGGAGTGCAGTGGCACCAATCTTGGCTCACTGCAACCTCTGCCTCCCAGGTTCAAGAGATTCTCCTGCCTCAGCCTCCCGAGTAGCTGGGATTACAGTGCTTGCCACCACTCCTGGCTAATTTTTTGTATTTTTAGTAGAGACAGGGTTTTGCCATGCTGCCGAGGTTGGTCTCAAACTCCTGAGCTCAGCTGATCCACCCACCTCAGCCTCCCAAAATGCTGGGATTATAGGCGTGAACCACTGCACCTGGCCGCTAGTGACTATTCTTTAATTCCTGTAGGCAGGAATTTTTTTCACCGTTTCATCCTCATGGCCCAGAATTGCTACTCAGAAAATAGGTATTTGTTGATTGATTTCATGACGTTGACTAGTTGTTTAGTTCCTTTGAGGCTCAATTGTCTCGTCTGTGGAATGGTAATGGCAGAGAGCACGCAGGGTTGTAAGCAGCGTGGCGTTGTAGACAGCGCCTGTAAGTGCCTCTTAGGCTTTCATTTTAGGACTTGCAGTTCTAGTGTCTGCCACGAGGTGGCAGTAGTGCTCAGGCGGTCCTGAAAGTGCGGTCCTGAAAGTGCGGTCCTGTCTGGCGGCTGGAAACTTGTTAGAAAAGCAAATGATGGGCCGGGCGCGGTGGCTCAAGCCTGTAATCCCAGCACTTTGGGAGGCCGAGGCAAGTGGATCACGAGGTCACGAGATCGAGACCATCCTGGTCAACATGGTGAAACCCCGTCTCTACTAAAACTACAAAAAAAAAAAAAAAAATTAGCTGGGCATGGTGGCACGTGCCTGTAATCCCAGCTACTTGGGAGGTTGAGGCAGGAGAATTGCCTGAACCCAGGAGGCAGAGGTTGCGGTGAGCCGAGATCGCGCCATTGCACTCCAGCCTGGGTAACAAGAGCGAAAAACTCTGTCTCAAAAAGAAAAAAAAGAAAAGCAAATGATGGGCCCCATCCCAGACCTAGAGAATCAGAAGCATTTTAACAAGGTCTCCAGGGGACTCCTATGCACATTAATGTTTGAGAAGCACTTATCTGGCATATACTACTTTTTTTTTGAGACGGAATCTCGCTCTATTACCAGGCTGGAGTGCAGTGGTGCGATCTCGGCTCACTAAAACCTCTGCCTCCCAAGTTCAAGCGATCCTCCTGCTTCAGCCTCTTGAGTAGCTGGGACTACAGTTGTGCGCCACCATGCCCAGCTAATTTTTATATTTTTAGTGGAGACGGGGTTTCACCATGTTGGCCAGGATGGTCTTGATCTCTTGACCTCATGATCCGCCCACCTCAGCCTCCCAGAGTGCTGGGATTACAGGCGTGAGCCACCGCACACAGACCATATACTACTTTTTTAACGTCTAAACATGGACTTCAATAAAGTGCAATCACTAGCTCTATGATCTCTGCAAGTGATAAAAGGAAAAGAAGAAGTGAGTTTAGTACCAAGGTGTGAAGAAGGAGAATGAGATACGGGTTAAGAAAGAGCATGGGCCCTGGGGTACACCCGGCTGGCCTGGCCTGGGCTGCTCTGGGGCTCTATATTCTTAGGGTGACCTTGGACAAGTTAATGAACCTTCGTGAGCCTCAGTTCCCCTCATTTTGAAACTGGAGATAGAGAGGGTGCCTGAGGCCTAGGGTTGTGGATCACTTATTCAGGGAACACTTGCGGGGGTGTTTTTGTGCAGGGGGAGCTCCGTGCCCACCTTCATCAAGCAGGTCTAGAGGGTTGGCCAGGAGGGGACTGGGTTCAACCCCTTCCTTCTCCTCACTGCCGGGTCTTCCCCACCGTGACCCAGCCATACCAGCAGCACTGCCGGAGGCCCGACACACCACACCCTTCTCCACAGTCCGCAAATTTTGGTCTTTTGAACCTCAATTCCTCCTTCATTCTGGCCCCTAGACGCCTCAGTTTCTCACCTTCTAGACATGGTTTGCCCTTCTCTCAGCTATGAATAGTTGATCAGCTTCCTGGAGTCAGGTGAGGGAGGGTTGGATCAGATACAACCTTGGCTTGGAAAGGACCCGGTGTTGTTAGCTATGGTGGAATCTGTGTCCCAGGGGAAGGAGGAAGTAGTCTGGGGCTGGGGCTGTCCTGTGTGGTTATCGCAAAGCAAAGAGTGCAGAGCATCTCTGTGTTTCAGGGCCGGTGCTCTTCTGGGTGAGCCTGGTGCTGGCCGTGGTGGTCGGTGCCATTGCCTTCCTCCTGTGCCACCGGAGGGCCTGCAGGAAGCGAATTCGGCAGAGTAAGTGGCTGTGCCTTGGGGCCTTGGGGAGGACAGGCTGCTCTCTGCCAGCCTGGCCTGGGTCCTTGCCCTGCCTGCCCCTGCCGCCTGAGGCCTCCTCCTCCTGGTGTCGTTTCAGAGCTCCACCTGTGCTACCCGGTCCAGACCTCCCGGCCCAAGCTGGAGCTTGTGGGTGAGTGTCCGGCCATCCAAAGGGGCTGCCCGAGCCAGAGGAGCGAGCATACGGCAGCTCTGGGCCCGGGGAGTGGGCTCAGAGCTGAACTTCTAGCCCAGCCTCGGGGCTCCCTGTCTGTGGCTCCTGTGGCATTCTGTACCTCTGTAGGGGTGTCATGCGGGTAAAGATGGCACTGGGTGTGCCGACTGTGTGGCTTGCCCAGAGCAGCACCTGGGTGGGTGCTGGGTTGAAAGTTTAAAAGTCTGTCTTGTCTTTTATTTCTTCCTCCAGCACCCCCAGGGGGCATTCCTGCCAGCCTTCCCTTCCTCTCTACTTCTACCCTCCCTGTCCCTGTCTCCCATCTCCCCTTCTCTTTCCCGTCTCTCTCCCCCTCTGCTGCTGCTGCTGCTGCTGCTGCTGCTGCTGCTTCTTCTTCTTCTTCTTCTTCTTCTTCTTCTTCTTCTTCTTCTTCTTATTATTATTATTATTATTATTATTTTGAGACGGAGTTTCGCTCTTGTTACCCAGGCTGGAGTGCAATGGCGCCATCTCGGCTCACCGCAACTTCCGCCTCCTGGGTTCAGGCAATTCTCCTGCCTCAACCTCCCGAGTAGCTGGGATTACAGGCACGCGTCACCATGCCCAGCTAATGTTTTGTATTTTTAGTAGAGACGGGGTTTCACCATGTTGACCAGGATGGTCTCGATCTCTTGACCTCGTGATCCACCCGCCTTGGCCTCCCAAAGTGCTGGGATTGCAGGCGTGAGCCACTGCACCTGGCTCTCTTTCCCCCTCTTCTACCACTTGGCAAGTGATCCCAGGGGCAGGAGGCATCCTGGTTCTGCCACTTACAAGCTGTGTGACCCCGGGCGAGTTACTGAATCACTCTGTGTCTCAGTTTCCTCCTCTAGAAAATGCAGATGGTGGAACCTCCTTCAGTCTTGGCCTGCGGGTTCATGGAGGTCGGCTGTTAAGTGCATGGTGGAGTGTCTGCCTGCAGTCAGTGGCTGCTGCTGTTGACAGGCTGGCCTGGGCCTGGGGCTTTTTCCTCCCTGGAAGCTTCAGGGTTTCCTGAGTCCTGGGTGCTTCTGACCCACTCCCTAGTTCCTGCACTCTGATCCTGGACCAACGCCCGGACCAGCTCTTCCAGGCAGCCCTCAGGAGCTGGGACCTTCCCCACCTGTCCAAGCAGGGGTGACTTCTAGCCTTCACCTGGGGCAGGGGGCTCCAAGCCATCATGTGTCAAGCACCTTTTCTCTCCTGGGCACCCCCTTTAAGGCAGGCTGGGGTCTTGGTCTTCCTCAGCACTGCACGGCATGGATTGTCTACTGTGTGCTGGGCTCTGATGGGGGAATTGTCCGAAACTTCCTTTCTGATTGCAAGGTGGGCTCCCGTTGAGGGTCTCCTGGACTCCCCCAGTGACGACTTTTGTTCTGCAAGGAGGATACAGGGCTCAGAGAGGTTGACGGCTGGCCCAGGGCCACACAGCCCAACAGTGGCGCAGTAAGCCTCAGACACTGGTTCTAGGGGTTTTGGTTTGTAAAGGACTCAGCTATGTCCCCTTTTTCTTCCCCCTGCCAGCTCTGCCCACCACCGCAACGCCCACCCAAGAACCACATGCTCAGCCTGAGGCCAGGTCTTGGCCCGAGCCCCGATCTCCCCAGGACCTTTGGAGAGGTCCTTCCAGTAGGTTAGAGACGGTTGTCTTGGGCACAGAAACCCAGTCCACTGAGGCATGTTTTGAATTTGACGAGTTTCACAAGCAAGCACTTGTGGTCCCTGAGCAAGGGGGGGTTTTTGTGTTTTGACAGTTTCAAGCCTGTTTCCATGAGCTGTCAGGCTCAGCGTCTCATTGAAACTGGCATTTGCTTTCTTGACATTTTTCTAGTATTAGAATTTCCATTGCCGTCAGTTTATTTTTTTCTTCAAACCTCTGTGAGAGCAGTTTTGTCACAAGAAGACAAAAAGAAAGAAAACACCTTCCCCTAAGAAGCCAGATCTACAAAGCACAGAGTCCCGAGACTCAATGGTGGACGCCCTGTCTCAGGCTGTTTTTGACCCTCTGGCTTCTGGTGGGCCCTCGGGGTCTGGGTTCCCAGGCCCAGGATGGATGGAAAGTAAAGCCAAGACAGGCAAGGTCACAGGGTGCAGGGCGAGAACGGACCGAGCTGGCCGGATGCCCCTTTCCCTCCCGAGTCGTGGGTGGTTCACTCATTTATCTGTTCACATGGTCTTCACGGAGCACTTCCTCCGAGCAGGCTCTGTGCTGGGCCCAGAAGCTGTTCTCTCCAAGCTTTTAAACTAATTCAGACTGCCTGCAGAGGCCAAAGGCAGGCAGGATGGGAGTGTGTGCCCCTCGGCTTCCCACATCCCAGACCTGGGGCAGGGGGCCCTCTTGGTTCCTTGAGCAGTGACCGCATCAGGAATCTCTGCCCAGGAGTGATGAGATGCTCACCAACCAGCCCTCAAATTGATCCGACCTTCCCACATGTGTCCTTGGTGACAGGCATTTGCAAAGGACATATGTGATCTCATTCACTCCTCCAGTGGCCTGGGAGGAACGTACTATTACCCCATTGCATAGATTAGCAGCCTGAGGCACAGAAGATGAAGTAATTTGTTTAAGGCCATGTGCTCGGTGAGCAGTAGGACTGGGATTTTATCGTGGTTGTTGAGATATTTGTGAAAAGGTTTTTCACCCTTGGCACCATTGACATTTGGGAATGAACCATTCTTTGCTGTGGGGGCTATCATGGAGGAGTTTCTGCAGCTCCCTAGATGCCAGTAACACCTCCTAGATGGGACACCCTCAAATGTCTCTAGACACTGCCACATGGCCCCTGGGGAAAAACTACTCCTGGTTGAGAACCACTCATCTAAAATTCTTTTTTTTTTTTTTTTTTTTTGAGACGGAGTCCTGGAATGCAGTGCAGTGGTGCAATCTCAGCTCACCGCAACCTCTGCCTCCCAGGTTTAAGCGATTCTCCTGCTTCAGCCTCCTGAGTAGCTGGGATTACAGGTGCCCGCCACTAAACCCAGCTAATTTTTTGTATTTTTAGTAGAGAAGGGGTTTCACCATTTTGGCCAGGCTGGTCTCAAACACCTGACCTCCTGATTTGCCCGCCGCAGCCTCCCAAAGTGCTGGAATTACAGGCGTGAGCCACTACGCCCAGCTTTAAAATTCTTTTAATCCTTCATTTTTATCAGCACTTGAATCATGATCAGTTATTCCAGGGAGATTTAGGTTGAAAGAAATTTTTATTTCAAACTTATAGAAATGGTGTAAGTACAAAGAATTTATTTTGTCCTGAACCATTTGAGAGTAACTGACTCAATGTCTATCACCCCAAAAACTTTAGTGTGTGTTTTGAACAGACAAGGAGGGTGTATTTTGCATGATGTAGCAAGGATTATCAGAATCAGGATTGACACTGATTCTGATTTGTGAATTGACACTGATATGTGACCAACAACGAATTCTCAGGCCCCGTTCAAGTTTATTTGTCCCAATAATGTCCTTTATAGCAGAGGATCTGGCTCAGGGCCACGATTGCATTTGCCTGTCTGGTTTCTCGAGTGTCCTTCCATCCAGATCTCTTCCCCAGGCTTTTCCTTTTTCTGGGAAGAGTGCAGGCTGGCAGTTCCGCGATGTTCCTTGCTTTGGGTTTGTCTGGTGTTTTCTCCTGAGTGGATTCAGGTCACGCATCTTGGACTGGAAGGTCCCGGAAGTGACGTTGGGCTCTTCTTTCTCGGGGCGTCCTGCCAGGTTTCAGTTTGTCCCTTTCCTGGAGCTGTGCACTTTGAGCACTTGATGGAGGTGCTGTCTGCTGGGCCTCTCCACGGTGAGGTCTCTATTCGCTCCTCAGTTACTAAGTCTTTTGGGGGGTGTTACTTTGAGACTGTCAATACCTCGTTCTTCAGCAGACCTTCATTTTCTTTTTTTTGAAATAGGGTCAGGCTCTGTCACCCAGGCTGGAGTGCAATAGTGTGATCTTGGCTCACTGCAACCTCCACCTCCTGGGTTCAAGTGATTCACCTGCCTCAACCTCCCAAGGAGCTGGAATTACAGGTGTGTGCCACAATGCCTTGCTGATTTTTTTTTTTTTTTTTTTTTTGTATTTTTAGTAGAGACAGGGTTTCACCATGTTGGTCAGGCTGGTCTCCAACTCCTGGCCTCAAGTGGTCCTCCTGCCTCAGCCTCCCAAAGTTTTGGGATTACAGGTGTGAGCTACTGCGCCTGGCTCAGAACTCTTATTTTCTTTATTGGGTTATATCTGCTACCATCAGTTTTTATTTTGACACTCCAATTGTCCCAGATTAGGTCAGGAGGAGCCCCTGTGTTCTTTGGGGTATCCTCATCCTGCTGTGCTGTGAGCACTTCCCTGTTCTCAGATGTTCCCAGCTTAACTGGTGCTCTCCTGCCCCAGCCGTGGAATCAGCTCTCTCTCCCTGGAGTCCAGGGTTTGCATCTAGGGGTGCCTGTTGCCAGAGCCTAGCTGAATCTCCCCACTTGGGCCCGTTCTGTTTCCCACAGCATTGGGGAATCACAGGCCAGAGAGGGGAGGGGACTGTAAGTGGGGAACAGCAGGGAAGGAAGGGGCCGAGAGCTTTACATCACGTGTCAGATCTCACGTGCTCCGTGAGCGTGGCCTTTGGAGCAGCCTGTGACACCATGTACTTGTCCTGGGCGGCCGGCCGCTGCCCAGCGTGTTCCAGGACTCGTGTCCTGGGGGGGCACCAGACGAGCTTACGAGAAGGTGGTGGTTATTCCAAAAAGCAAGGAAACCAATAAATAAGGCTAGCAGATTGAATCAACATTTTTAGGGGAAGAGCAGTTATGAAATCTGACCTCTGTACTTGGCGAGATTTATCCAGTGTCTTTATCAAAATCCTCATGGTTTGTTACACAGCTGTAGTCACACGTCAGAGCCTTCCAGATGCCACTCTTTTGCCTCTGAGATTTTACACTTGTTTGGGAGGGTCGGTATCGAACTCTGACTTACCATTCAGTGTGTTGGAGCGCAGAGCCGTGTTAACATCCTGGGCTCTTCCTGCACCTGCTGTGAGCTAGAAAGCATCCTGGACACCTTCTTTTTTTAATACTTTAATTTTAAAAAATTCTAAGGAGGCTGGATGTGGTGACTCACGCCTGTAATCCCAGCACTTTGGGAGGCCGAGGCGGGCGGATCACTGGAGGTCAGGAGTTCAAGACCAGCCTGGCCAACATGGCAAAATCCCATCTCTACTAAAAATACAAAAATTAGCCAGGTCTGGTGGCGGGTGCTTGTAATCCCAGCTACTCAGGAGGCTGAGGCAGGAGAATTTCTTGAACCCAGGAGGCGGAGGTTGCAGTGAGCCGAGATCGTGCCACTGCACTCCAGCCTGGAGTACCCCTGCTCCAGGACAGCTAAGTGGCCTCATTGTTTATGACATGTGGCTGGTTTTCAATTTGTGGGTTATTACAAACACCGCTGGTGTGCTTGGCCTTTTTGTTTTCTTTTGGGTTATTTCCTGAGGGTGTGTTCCCCCAAGAGGGATGGCTGGATAAAGAGTGTGAGGTTTTCCTCGCAAGACGACCCTGAGAAAATGGAACCAGCATGCAGGGCATGAGCAGCTCCACGCTCCTCTTCGCCTGCTTCCCTTTTGAGGCTGAGTTGTGTCATTTCTATTTATTTTGTTTTGTTACTTTGTCAAACTTTTTTTTTTTCTGTTGGCCACCCCCAGTGACTTGGTACCAAAGAACAGCTGGCTGCTTGTAAAACTCAGGATCACTCTGGAAGGACCATGATTTAGTTTCACTGACATCATTAAAAAGAATGTGCCCCAGCCGAGCGCGGTGGCTCAAGCTTGTAATTCCAGTACGTCGGGAGGCTGAGGCAGGTGGATTGCCTGAGGTCAGGAGTTTGAGACCAGCCTGGCCAACATGGTGAAACCCCGTCTCTACTAAAAATACAAAAATTAGCCGGGCGTGGTAGCGCACACCTGTAATCCCAGCTGCTTGGGAGAATCGCTTGAACCTGGGAGATGGAGGTTGTGGTGAGCCGAGATCATGCCACTGCATTGCAGCCTGGGTGACAGAGTGAGACTCTGTATCCAAAAAAAAAGAAAAAGGTGCCCCTAAGAGGGTTTCCCAAACTCACCTAGTGTCCAACATAGCGTGTTCATATGGCCAGTCTTGTGTGTACTTATCCTGCTTGCTGACTGAGCATCAGTGAGCGTCCCTGCGAGGGTTCAGGGCTGGTGGCTCCCCAGAGCTGCTGAAATCCGAGATGTGTGCAGGAGGCGGTGTGGCTGGCACACGGGCATCTTGGAGGCAGAATTGTCTAGCCAGGGGTGTGTGCCTGACAACAGCAGATTCCAGATCTCCATAGGTGGCATTCTCGGGAGCGGTTGAAGGCTGGGCATCCCTGGAGGATGGTCTGCTCTGGGAGTTGACTTGCCCCAGGATGGACTAGATGCCCGGGTGCCCTCTCACCTTTCTCAGATGGCCAGTGAGCCAAGGTTAAATGTTAAATGTCAATGTGCGCCTGGCCATGACCTGGCCCCTGTTTACTATGGGAGAACAAGGGGAGTGGAGGGTAGGGGTTGAGATGAGAAGACAGAGCTGGTGGCTTGAGAATCTTTGCATCAGCACCTCCTGGGCCCACAGAGGGATGGGTTGAAGGACATGAGATGACCTGAGAGCAGTTGTTCTCCTCGAAGGCTGCCTGGGTGCTTTCAGGCACGTGAAAGAGAAAATCGAAGTCTGGCTGGAGCCAGAAGGATTTCACAGTAGACTGGCTTCAGGTATGTCCCAGTCAGGGTCCAGGCGGCTCCCACAGGATCCCTCATCCTCAACCATCGCCTGCCTTGAGGTCCTCCATGTGGGTTTTGCCCGGTGTTACAGGGAGTTCGGGGCTCTCCACACCCTGGAGACAACAAGGTATGGGGGCAGCATCCACAGACCAGCTTCTGACCCAGCGGAAGCCTCTTGGGCTCTGGCTGGGCCTGTGTGTCTCGTGAACCAATCCTTGCATGTGCGCGGTGGTGGGGGTTGGGAACGGTTCGGCGTGTTCATTGGTTTAGCCATTAGGAATGAGAGTGATAGCCGGGCCCAGTGGCTCACACCCGTAATCCTGGCACTTTGCAAGGCCAAGGCGAGTGGATCACTTGAGATCAGGAGTTCAAGACCAGCCTGGACAACATGGTGAAACCCTTGTCTCTACTGAAAATACAAAAAAATTGCCAGGTGTGGTGGCACGTGCCTGTCATCCCAGCTACTCGGGAAGCTGAGGCATGAGAATCGCTTGAACCTGGGAGGCGAAGGTTGCATTTTGCTGAGATTGCCCCACTGCACTCTGGCGAGACCATCTCAAAAAAAAAAAAAAAAAAAAAGATTACGGAGAGTGGCCAGGGGAGAGAGGTGGTCCCCTGTCCTCCATCTGCCACTGGAGGAGTGAGCATGGGGAAGTGAGCCTCCTTGCCTTGGACTGGGGTGGGTGCTGACTCTGAAGCCCATCCCAGTCCTCTCCAGACTGATGACCTGACCCCTAAGCTGAGTTCAGTGCCACCCGTGGTCCAGGAGGACCATTTGCCAGTAGGCAGGGTGGGCAGGGCCAGGGGCTGCCAGACCCTCCTTGGTGAAGTCGCTGCTCTTGCTTTTTGCAGATTCCAGACCCAGGAGGAGCTCAACAGTAAGTACCCGCCCTTGCCCCCACCTCAGCTCCTTCCCTAACAGATCTGCAGTTTAGAGAGCTGCTGGGGGGAGGGAGAGGGAGGGGACGGAAGGGCCATTCCCCCTCCAGTGCCCAGGGTGCAGGCCCCTGCTGCAGGGTCAGGCTGAGTCTGGGACCTCTGTCACAGGGGCCTCGCCCGGGGCCTCAGCCAGGCCTTGGCCAAGGGTGGAGAGCTTCACCCCCACAGCAGCCTCCAGCTCCTGGCTCAGCCTGCCGGGAATTTCCAGAAGGGCCTGCAGACAGTGGATTTGGTTTGCACGACTTTTGGGTACCAGGTCTGGTCAGGAGGAAGGCTTCGTTCTTTCTCCTCTTCTCTTCACTCTTCCGTGAATCTCCTCCCGCAAGCTGGATGACGGAGCAGGAGTCTATGGTCCACCCCTTTTTTCTTTTTCCGTTTATCACTTCTTCCATTGCTTTCTTTCATTCAAGCATCATACATTGAGACGGGTTTCTTCTATCCTTTCATTTTTCAATATAATATACAGAACCATCACACTAGTTCAGTTTCAAATTATGGGGCATCACATTCAAATATGCTTGGATTTGACAAGTGGCTGTGACGATGCTGAGAAATTCCGCAAAAGAGGGTCTTCAACAATCTGTCAGGTAATACATTTGGCTTTGCTGCATAGGCCATTAATAGTAACTTGTTTTAGCCGGGCGCGGTGGCTCACGCCTGTAATCCCAGCACTTCGGGAGGCCGAGGCGGGTGGATCACAAGGTCAAGAGATCGAGACCATCCTGGTCAACATGGTGAAACCCCGTCTCTACTAAAAATACAAAAAATTAGCTGGGCTGGTGGCGCGTGCCTGTAATCCCAGCTACTCAGGAGGCTGAGGCAGGAGAATTGCCTGAACCCAGGAGGTGGAGGTTGTGGTGAGCCGAGATCGCACCATTGCACTCCAGCCTGGGTAACAAGAGCGAAACTCCGTCTCAAAAAAAAAAAAAAAAAAAAAATAGTAACTTGTTTTAAAATGCAGTCTTTTGGCCAGGCATGATGGCTCACACCTATAATCTCAGCACTTTGGGAGGCTAAGGCAGACGGATCACCTGAGGTCAGGAGTTTGAGACCAGCCTGGCCAACATAGTGAAACCCCGTCTCTACTAAAAATACGAAAATTAGCCGGGTGTGGTGGTGCACGCCTGTTGTCCCAGCTACTCGGGAGACTGAGGCAGGAGAATCTCTTGAACCTGGGGGGCAGAGGTTGCCGTGAGCAGAGATTGTGCCACTGCACTCCAGCCTGGGTGACAGAGTGAGACTCCATCTCAAAAACAAAAAAAACAAACAAAACAAAAACAGTCTTTTAGCCTTCAAATTATGATAAAAAGTATTCAAGATGATGTATTAAGGTTGGTGCCATTTGCCGTTAAAAATAATGGCAAAAACCGGGCCGGGCGCGGTGGCTCAAGCCTGTAATCCCAGCACTTTGGGAGGCCGAGGCAGGTGGATCACGAGGTCAAGAGATCGAGACCATCCTGGTCAACATGGTGAAACCCCGTCTCTACTAAAAATACAAAACATTAGCTGGGCATGGTGGCGCGTGCCTGTAATCCCAGCTATTCAGGAGGCTGAGGCAGGAGAATTGCCTGAACCCAGGAGGCGGAGGTTGCGGTGAGCCGAGATTGCGCCATTGCACTCCAGCCTGGGTAACAAGAGCGAAACTCCATCTCAAAAAAAAAAAAAGAAAAAAGAAAAAAGAATGGCAAAAATCATGATTACTTTTTCACCAATCTAAAAGATAGGTGCTCTGTGCCTTGAGAATCATCGCATCAACATGAGCATCCCTGCCTCATCTCTGAGTTACTCAAACTCACTCCATTTTGAAGGCATCAGGACATTTAATGAGGCCACTTACTTGCATTTACTCGTAAAAGTCAAAAAGTAAACCGGCACATTCCCCAAGACATAGCTGTTTTTAGAACGCATGAGTGCAGTCATAAAAGACTGCTTTCCAGGATGTCGGGGCTAGGGAGCTGGAGGGGCTGCTCCAGGAGGCGGTGGGTCTGGAGCTGGTACTTACAGACTTTGGTGCTTATGAGTGTGGACTGTGGAGCCAGATGCCAGGGTTCAAATCCTGGCTCAGGTGTTTACTGATGGTATAACCCTGGGCAAGTTACTCGACTCCTCTGTGCCTCAGTTTCCTCATCTATAAAACGGGGAGAGGGCTTCACCCACCTCACATGGTGGTTGTGAGGACTAACATATGTCAAAAACTTTAGGACAGGGTCACGGACATGGCAGGCGCCCTGTGAGTCGCTGACTGTTACCCTTATTATTTAGTACAGGTTAAAAGCAACAGACTTCACCCAGAAAGCTGAGAAGCCCGGGGCAGCTCAGGGCAGCTTTAAAGCAGAAAGGGAGACTCACTGGGGTCTGCAGAGATGAAGAAAAAGGGGGCTCCCAGTTCAGAGAGTGGAGGGGGAGGGCACCCTGCAGTAGCACCCATTCCTCTCCCACAGCAGGTGAGGAGTGGCGTGTCGGCGACAGAATCCAGCGCAGAAGAGCTGTGGTTAATGCGCCCTCCAGCACAGCCATTGGAGATCTGCCACAACGTGGGGGCAGCCAGCCTGGAGAGCCTGCCGTTGCGGGATGCCAGCCCAGCCGGAGGCCCCTCGCCTCCCAGGGACCTTCCTGAGCCCCGGGTGCCCACGGAACACACCAATAACAAGATTGGTGAGTTGGCCTGTTTTGAGGGATTCTCTGCAGGCCAGGGGCAGAGGCGGGGGTGAGTGCGGGGCCCTGGGTCCTGGAAGGGGCCTGGAGACTCTGGAGCTGAAAGGCCCAGCAAAGGAGAGGCATAGATTCTTCACCCCAATTCAAGTGTCTGTAAGTAGGGTCAGCAAGGGCACTCACCTCATGGGCCCTTGTGCGAATTCACGAGCCGGTGCACATGAGGTGCCTGCTGTTATTCACAATAAAAACTGAAAGCCATCCCAGCCCCCAACACCTGAGGGGACAGGAGGAGGATGTGCCAGTGGCCATAGGACCTGCCACTTGTCTGGCGCATTCCGGGCACTGTGCAGACGCCATCTCTTCCTCTCTGATTGTCTCGCCACCTTCTGAGGTTGGTGTCCTTCTCCCCATTTTACAGATGGGGAAACACCCGCTCGGCCTGGCAGGACTTTCTGCTCCTATCCGTGTGCCTATGGCCAAAACCCGGGGTGACCAACCTGTCCCATCTTTCCCAGGAACCCTCCTGGCCTCAAGGTGATCTGTCCGCCTCAGCCTCACAGAGTACTGGGATTATGAGCATAAGCCACTGTGCCTGGCCTGGGCAGTCTTTTGTAACAGACCGAAACTTTTGAAATTGTAGCTTTTAGTAAGTTTTATTTGAAAGGTATGTATTTTGGGAAAGACCACCAAAGGCTTCTTCAGAATTCCTAAGAAGTCCTGATTGGAACATCTGAGTCCACGCTGAGCGCAGTGCCTGGAATCCCAGGGGCGGGGTTCAGAGGGTGTTTGATGGACAGAAGGAAGTACCGGGCTCCCACGTGGATGGCTTAGGTGTGGACTGACCCTCCACCCCCCAGCATAGCCTGCAGGCCTTGCTGGTGAGTGGATCAGGTGGCGGGGAGGCCACGTCCGCTCCGCTGGGAAGTGGAAGAACCTCAGAGGTGCTCTTGGGCACCCAAGATACAGACAACCCCCTTACCTTCCTGATGCCAGGCTGGGGGAGCGTCCTCCCTTCCCATCCACTTCCCAAGAGAGATCACACTGGGTTCTCCACATCACCCCTCTCCCCCTAGGAACCAGGCAAGGCAAGAACGCCTTTCCCCCCAGCTTCCTCACCTGCCCTCTCCACCTGGCCAAGATGAATTCCCTGGACTCTGGAGCTCTGGGGAGGGGCAGGAAGCCCATGCAGCCCTTGGAAGCCAGCACCACAACCTGGGGTGGGGGAGGCCTGTGATGGGGGCAGAGCCAGATGGGGCAGAGCCCTCATGGCCGTCTCTGACATTTACAGACCCTCTGTCACTTCTGAGCTCGGTGGGAGCGGTTTCCTCACCTGGAGGCAGTTCCACTGCCTTGAATCCAGTTAGTTCCGGATTTCCCAGGGACCCCTGCTCATTTCCCTGAGGAATGTGAGGGGGCCAGCCTGTCTCCCAGCTTTGGCTCCTTCTCCCTAAACCAGCATCCCCCCACCTCACCCCATCCGCCTCTCCTCTTCTCTGTCCATCCCCCTCTGGGCCTTCTCTCCCCTCCTGGGGTCTCCTCTTTCACCACCTCCAGCCCCCATCTTTTGCCCAGCCCTCTTCAGGGCTTCTAGGGCCAGGAGCCTGCAGGTCTTGATGGAGATGTGGGGTGCTGAGGCCCTGCTGTCTGTTTTGGGGTCTGTGGGGGCACCCAGCCCACAGCCCATCCCACACTCTGGGCCTTCCCCTCCTCTCGCTGCCGTTTGGAGCACTTCTTTCTTTCCTGGGGGTGTTCAAAACCAGAATAGGAGAGCCAGTGTCATGCAATAGGATTGAGGGTGCAGGGGATTTGAGAACATTTCTGGGGTTCCTGAATCCGAGGGGTGTAACCGCATTACCCAGAGAGGCGGGGGTCCCTGCACCCCAACCCCACCCAGCTCTCAAGTTCCCTCTTGAGCTTCCCCATTTGGCCTCCAGCGTCCAGGGCAGAACAGCTGGGAGCCGGCCCACCCTGAGCCGGACGCCGTCAGCTGGGCAGAGGCCAGGTTTCCCCACTCCCAGCTCCTCGGGCCACTGAACTCCCTTGCTCCTCTATGTTCCCCTCTATTAGAAGGCCACAGCAGGAGCCCCCACATCAGACCATGGCGAGGACAAGCCATCTGTCCAAGCTCCCACCGTGCGCTTACAGCACAGCCACGCAGGCTGCAGGTGGGAGATCGGCTCTGAGCGGCAGACCCTGAAATTCACAACCTGAGCCAGGCTGTCTCGATCATGGGCTGCCAGCGGTTTCTGCAGGATGTGACCGGCTGGCTGGGTCTGGGTTTGCCTGGACTGAGGAGGCTCCCAGGACACGGGACTTGCAGTATTAGAACCAGGAATGTTGCCGGGCAAGATGGGACAGGTTGGTCACCCTGAGTTTTGGCTGCAGGCACATGGATAGGGGCAGAAAGGGCTGCCAGACAGAGTGAGGTTTTTTTTTTTTTTTTTTTTTTTTTTTTTTTTTTTAATTTCTCCTAATTACATCTTGACCTTGGGCAGGTCATTTAACCTCTCCAGGCTTCAGGTTCCTATCTGTAAGTGGGAATCTTGATGGGGTCGCCTTGCAGGAGGGCTGAGCACCCAGGAGCCTGTGCGTGGCAGGCGCTCGCCTCTGCTGTGGCCGCCCATGCTCTGGTTATCCGTGGCTTTGCCTGTTCTCTTCCACAGTTCACTTTCTCTCCCACCATGTCCTCTTCTTCCCTACCCATCCCTGAAGCAGTGCTGAGAAAATCCTAAGTACAAGGAGGCTGGTTCTTAACGCCTCAAGGCCCAGCTTCTAGCTGTTGTATTTCCTCTGAGCCCCAGGACGCCTGTAAGGTGTGTCAGAGAGGTTGTGCCATCAGCCTGAAGTCCCCCAGCGGGCACGACAGCCCTGGGCCTCGGCCCCTTCTCTGCCTCTTTGCTCCCATCCTGGCCGGCACTCTGGCCTCCCTGGCTCACACATCCTTTTGCCTTGCAGAGAAAATCTACATCATGAAGGCTGACACCGTGATTGTGGGGACCGTGAAGGCTGAGCTGCCCGAGGGCCGGGCCCTGGTGGGGCCGGCAGAGCCTGAGCTGGAGGAGGAGGAGCTGGAGGCAGACCATGCCCCACACTACCCCGAGCAGGAGACAGAACCGCCTCTGGGTAGCTGCAGTGACGTCGCCATGCTCTCGGTGGAAGAGGAAGGAAAGGAGGCCCCCTTGCCCACAGCTGCTTGTGGAAAGTGAGGCCTGGGCTGGGCTGGGGCTCGGAGGGCAGCTGGGTAGCCACTGGGAGGCCAGAGTGGCACCGTTGGCACCAAGCTTGGTCCAGCATCTAGCGGTGGACCGGCCCGTCATTGCAGGGGTCTGGTGGTCTCTGCTTGCATCTCCCACTTAGCTGTCCCCTGACCCAGAGCCTAGGGGATCCGGGGCTTCTACAGAAGAGACAGTCCAAGGCGACTGGGTCCCAGCAGTGATGTTGGTTGAGGCAGCAGACAGATGGCAGGACTGGGCCCTGCCAAGAATAGCATTGGCCCCAGAGACTTGGGCATCAGACCCTCACCACCAGGCCCAGAGCCCACCGAGGGAGAGGCCATGAGGCCGGCTCCCAGTGCCCCTGAACCCTATTCCCTCTCTCCCTGGATGTCAGAGATGACAACCATTGAGCCTTCCGGCATGCCCCCAGTTACTATAAATGTGGCCCCCAGTGGGCACGGGGTCAGTGCTTGTGGTTGTCTCTCCTGAGTCAAGAGGGAAGTTCAGGGATGGGGTGTGGTCAGCTGGCACTGTCTCTGCTGCCACGGCCACACGGCACTCTGCACTGGCATGAGGGCCCCTGCCCAGTCCCAGCCCTGCCTGGGCTGCGGGACCCTCCTGGTGCTGCCCACCTTCCCTCTGTCGCCCCCTTGGTGGGCTCAGGATCAAGTCACTCATCTCAGAATGTCTCCACTGATCCCCACCACAGCAGGCATCTCGGGACCCAGATGTCTGCAGCCCTCAGCAGCTGCAGACCGCCCCCCAGCAACCCAGAGAACCTGTTTTGCTTTGCCCAGGGACTTCCTCTCCACGTAGACATGGGGAACTTGGGGTGCTGCCCAGGGTTCTTGATCGCTCTCTGTGGACCCCACGCGCTCTGTCCTGGGAAATGAAGAGGCATCTTCCTTAGATCTGCCCTGCTTGCAAATCCACTATCACCGGCCCCGCCATCTGGTTCTGGCTCTGCACCCATTGGGGTGTGGACATCGAGAGGCACCACCGCCTCCCCCAGACATCTGCCTTACTCTGGACCGTAGGAAACAAGACTGTTTGGAGGTTCCATCTGGATTTTGGGTGTTTCACATTTCACACTAAGGTGTTTAGCGGCCCTGACTTTCAGTCCGCTGGCTGGCCTGCTCTCCAGGGCCTTCAGTGTGTAAGCAAACGAGTGATGGATGAGGGTGAGTCTTGGAGCTGCGGGTAGCCTGGAGACTCGTGGACTTACCGCCTGGAGGCAGGGCTGGGAAAGCTGCTGTTTACTCATCGGCTGGCCACATGCTCTCTGGAGGAAGTGATAGTTTCTGAAACTGCTCAGATGTTTTGGGGAAAGTTGGAGAAGCCGTGGCATTGCGAGAGGTGGTTACACCAGAAACTGGACGTTGGCCAGAAGCGTAAGTGGGCAGATGCTATTTTGTGGAAGGATGGAGTGGGTGTCTCTGTATCACCCGGCTGTAAGTTACACTGGGCAGCACGTGCCTGTCAGGCAGAGTAGTCTGGTGCCCTTAACGGGAGAGATTGATACGTTTTAACAAAATACTTCTTCACCCCGTGGCCTTTCATGCAACTTTCAAATCCCTAAAAATCCATAAAATTCTTAAAAACAAAGAACTGTAAGGCTGAGGACATGAGCATTGAAATTGAGAGTATGTTATTCACAGAGCCTCTGAGCAGCAGTGGCTCTGGGGGTTTCTCTCCCCGCAGGGCAGGGATTCCCGCTGCACCCCCGGACACTGAGGTGGCCAGTCTCTGGTGGATTGGACATTTCTGGGTCCAGGAGCCCGCTTCCTGCTGGGGCAGCCCTTCTCACTGCTGGAAGGTTTCCTTATCACTTGAGGCAATCTCTTTCTCTGTGTAATTGCCGCTCCCTGGTTCAAGACCAGCCCTTTGAGGACACTTAGAATAAAGCCACTGATGGCCGAGCATGATGTCTCACACTGTAATCCCAGCACTTTGGGAGGCTGAGGCGAGTGGATCACCTGAGATGAGGAGTTTGAGACCATCAGGCCAACATGGTAAAACCCCGTCTCTACTAAGAATACAAAAATTAGCTGGGCATGGTGGTGGGTGCCTGTAATCCCACCTACTCTGGGGGCTGAGGCAGGAGAATCGTTTGAACGTGGGAGGCAGAGGTTGCAGTGAGCCGAGATTGGGCCACCGCACTCCAGCCTGGGCGACAAGAGTTGAGACTCCGTCTCAAAAAATAAAAAAAATAAAGCCACTATTGTCACAAAAGGCTCCCTTTAGGTATTTATAGAAAGGTTTCTGGGCGTTTCCATGGTCTTCTTCCCTCTGGGCTGGGCCGAGCAGCCCCATAGCTTTAGAGAAGGGAGTCTCTAAGGAGCAGTTTGAGTGCCCAAGCCTTGGGAGGCAGGGGGAGGACCACAGTATTTGGGAGCGTCGGGTTCTGTGTCTGAGCTGGGTGGAGCCCAGCCTGCTTCCCTGGGCATAGCTCAGTGGCCTTTGGAACCAGCCTCCACCCCAGGCAGCCAGCCTGCAGGCCCCCTCTGACTGTGGCTCCTGTGTGGGGTGGAGGAAACCCACAGCCACGGACAGACCCTGCCCCCAACTCCCCAGGACGCCAGCCCACACCCAGACATCAGCCCGGCCATTGAACCAGCCACTGCCTGCCATTCACTCAGTCCAGGGGCCAGGGTGAATTTCCCCATCCTGCCCAGCGGTGAGAGGACCCCTTCTATCCTCTGGCTGTGCTTGTGTCCAGGTTGGGAGATGGACAGAGCCCCCTGCTACTCAAGGTCGCAATTCCCAGGCTGTGACGATACCCCCACACACCTCTTCCTGAACATTTGTGATCAGAGCGGGACAGCAAGTGATACGTATCAGATGGAAGCCGCTGCCTTCAAAGAAAAGCCATTGTTTCCTAAGGCGCTTTTGTAAACCATTCTACAGTTCTTAGAATCTCCATGGCTTGGATCAGTCCTTAAAACGGAATGAGAGGACCTCCCGAGAGCGTCTCTCACTCCCTCACAACCTCACCCTCCAACAGTGAGGTGTTGAAGACCCAAGACTGGGTCTCGACCATCTTGGTTGCACAGTCACCAGGCACTGATTGGTCGAGCTGAGTGGAAATGAAAGCCTGTGTGGGGTGAGGGGCAGCTCTCCGGCCGCAGTTCCTCAGGTGCCCAGGTGCCTTCTCTCCTCCACCCACTTCCTTGATCCTCTGCAGTGAGGGCCAGTGTGGGTGGGAGGGGCTTGGGCCAGAATGTGCAGGGACGCCAGATTCACGGCCAGGGCGCAAGAGAAAAGCTTAGTGAAGGTGAGACTATTCAGCTTCAAGGGTGGCTCCTTGGGCCGAAGGAGAAACTGCTGCGGACAGCTCGGGCCCCTGCACCCTGCGCCAGGCTGCTCTGCCAGCGTCCTCCTCCTGAGCAGGCACCCCATGCTGGCCGAACACCCTGTGACCCTCGCCCATGGCTGACCCAGGGGAGCAGGTCTCCAATGCTGCGGCCGTGGGTGTGTGCCAGGCACAGGGCAGAGAGGCTTGCCTGCCATTCTCCACAGCGTGTGGATGGCGATGGCACTGTGGGGTCACGCCCAGGCTCAAATCTCAGCTCCGCCATTTATTCATCACATGAGCTTGGCTATGTTCCGTGATCTCTCTAAGACTCGGTTTTCTTGTCCGTGAAATGGGGGTGTCAGTCTCTACCTGATGGGTCTGTGGGACTTTCCTGACATGCCACCTGGTGTGTGGCTTGTGCTAAGTGGCAGGTTCTGTCCTTATTCCAGCCTGGTGGCTACTTGCCAAGAGCGAGCCTTTCCTATGTCTGCAGAATTCGGCCCCCTCAGACTTACAAGTGGGTCACCTTTAAAAGGGCACTAGGACCAGGCACGGTGGCTCACGCCTGTAATCCCAGCACTTTGGAGGTCGAGGCTGGCGGGTCACCTGAGGTCAGGAGTTTGAGACCAGCCTGGTCAACATGGTGAAACTCTATCTCTACTAAAAATACAAAAATTAGCCAGGCGTGGTGCCGTGTGCCTGTAATCCCAGCTACTTGGGAGATTGCGGCAGTAGAATCACTTGAACCCAGGAGGCGGAAGTTGCAGTGAACCAAGATCATGCCATTGCACTCCAGCCTGGGTGGCAAGAGTGAAACTCTGTCTCAAAGAACAAAAAAAGGAAGCACTGGAACTGGAACACTTTCTTCCCAGGAAAGCATTGTCGCTGATGGCTGGTTCCAAGGCTAGCCCATCAAAGCCGGCTTTAGCCCATCAAGGTTGATCAGAACTTTCAGAACAGCCTGGGGACCTGGCCGCCCTTGTGGCCACGTTGTCGTGGGAAGCCCTGTGTAGTGGGCGGGCTTCTTCTTGCTCTGTGGGCTACCCCAAGAACTCTTTTTTTTAATTTTTATTTATTTTTATTTTTTTTATAAGAAAAAGAATAAAGAAGAGGAAGAGGGAGCGAGAATGGGGGTATTGCTTTATTGCCTGGGCTAGAATGCAATCTAAATATGGGTATGCCTATAATTGTCCTTAATAATGGAGATTTAAAAGAAAATGAGGGAAGAGAATAACAAACAAGGAGCCAACGAACATTTCGTTTAAACTTCTAAGTTGATATGATGTGGTACTGATCTACGTATTCCTGTATTGGATGCATATTTATTTAGAATCTTTAGCTCTTCTTGTTGTTGCATTGATCCTTTTATCATTATATAATGTCCTTCTTTGCTTCTTTTGATCTTTGTTGCTTAATTTTAACTTCTGCTTTTTATTTATTTATAATTTTAGCTCTCTGTTTGGTTGGTAAATCCTTCTCCATCTCTTGTTTTAAATCTTTGTGTATCCTTGAATGTGAGATGGGTCTGGATGCAGCATACTGATTGGTTTTAGTTTTTTATTCAAATTGCCTGTCTGTCTTTGGATGGGGGATTTAGTCAATTTAAATTTAGAATCAATAATAATATATATGAGTTTAATACTGCCAGTTAATATTAGCTGGCTATTTTGCCCATTAGTTGATGTAAATTCTTCATTATATTGATGCTCTTTTTGGTATTTTTTTAGAAAGGCTGATACTGTTTGTTCCTTTCTATGTGTAGTGGTTCTTTCAGAATCTCTTGTAAAGCAGGCCTGGTGGTGATGAAATCTCTGAGTGCTTGCTTATTCACAAAAAACTTTATTTTTCCTTCACTTGTGAAGCTTAGTTTGGCTGGATGTGAAATTCTGGGTTGAAAGTTCTTTTCTTTAAGGATGTTAAATATTGGTCCCCACTCTCTTCTGGCTTGTAGGGTTTCTGCTGAGAGATCTGCTCTAAGTCTGATAGGCTTCCCTTTGTGGGTAACCTGACCTTTCTCTCTGGCTGCCCTTAGTATTTTCTCCTTCATTTCAACCCTGGTGAATCTGACCATTATGTGCCTTGGAGTTGCTCTTCTTGAGGAATATCTCTGTGGTGTTCTCTGTATTACCTGGAGTTGAATATTATCCTGCCTTACTAGGTTGGGAAAATTTTCCTGAATAATGTCCTGAAGCGTATTTTCCAGCTTGGATTCATTCTCTTCGTCACATTCAGGTACACCTATCAAGCGTAGATTAGGTCTTTTCACATAGTCCCATATTTCTTGGAGACTTTGCTCGTTCCTTTTTATCCTTTTTTCTCTAATCTTGTCTTCTTGTTTTATTTCATTGAGTTGGTCTTCGACCTCTGATATCCTTTCTTCTGCTTGATCAATTCGGCTGTTAAAACTTGTGCATACTTCACGAAGTTCTCCTATTGTGTTTTTCAGCTCCATCAATTCACTTATATTCCTCTCTAAATTGTGTATTCTTTTTAACATTTCGTCAAATCTTTTTTCAAAGTTCTTAGTTTCTTTGGATTGGGTTAGAACAAGTTCTTTTAATTCACAGAAGTTTCTCATTATCCACATTTTGAAGCCTGCTTCTGTAATTGGAACACACTCGTTCTCCATCAAGCCTTGTTCAGTTGCTGATGAGGAACTGTGATCCCCAGCTGAGGGAGAGGCGTTCTGATCTTGGGTACTCTCAGCCTTTTTTGGCTGTTTTCTTCCCTTCGTTATAAATTAATCCATCTGTGGTCTTTGTATTTACCGTCTTTGTAATTGGTTTTCTGAGTGGATGTCCGACTTACTGATTCTCAGCGCCGAAATCTGAGCAACCCACTGCGCCGACCAAATCAGCGGCGTCAAGATGGATGGTGCTTTTCTGACTCTGCACCGAGAACCGACGCTCCGACGCGCTGCAAAACCGCCTCGCTGGTCACAAGAGTCGCGCTGGCGACCCGTGGGGCTCCTCCGCTGGGAATCTCCTGGTGCATGAGCAACAAGAATTCATGTGAAGGTATGGCGTCCTCTCCTTCTTTGCGCTTTCACTGGGAGCTACAATCCCGAGCTGCTAGTGATCAGCCATCTTGGATCTCTCTCAGAACTCTTAAATCACAGTTGTGTGGCTCATTATTCCATGTCTGTAACTCTGGGGATGTTGGCGAAGTGCTGCGGGTCCCTCCGGAGGGACATCTCACTCGTGGTTCTAGCACATTCCAGATGGCACCGCATCGCTATTCAAGGTCTTTCCTCAATTAAAGAGTGGCCTCCCTTCCTCCCTTCCTTTTACAAACAACTCTGATGAGCCCGGCCCAGGTC